GATGTAGCACTCACAAAATCTCTGTTACCTTCTCTTGCACAGGATAAGGATATTTACAAAGTGCGATCCTGGCTCCCTGCTGGGTCTTTTAGTTAAACTTCTAAACTTCTCAAGTTATGGTTAGATTAGTTCTATAATGTTCAGTATGTATTCAATGTGTGTGAAGATGGGGACAACTATTTGGAAGAAAACTAGAGACAAGGGGCTGAGGGTTTAGCTCAGTGGCATAAGCGCCTGCCTTGCAAGCAGGCAGTCATGAGTTCAATCCCCGGTACCGATAAAAAAGAAAAAGACAAAAAAAGAAAGAAAGAAAGAAAGAAAACTAGAGACAATAAGATAGACAGTGAAGATCTCTAGTGGAGTTGCTTTGAAATCTGTGTTTCTTTAAATTTTTTCCTTATGATCTCTTTTATTCTGTTTTGTTATGTTTAATCTTACCCTCTTTAAAATTAAAAAAAAAAAAGACATGAAAGAAGGTAGAAGCAGCCCTGCATGTGCCAGTGACATAATTGCTGCTGGAGTTTCCTGAGGCTGCAGCCTGCAGGGAACTCACCTGTGAAGTGCACACTTCAGAACTTCTCCTTGAGATGTGCAAGAGGAGCAAATCTACATGCTGGTTCCCAGCTGCATTGTTTAAAAACTGTTCTTAGTCACCTTCTTATTGGGACAGAATACCTGACACCAACAACTTAAAGTAGGAGAGCTTTATTTTGGCTCACAATTTCAGAAGAAACATGGTGGAAGGGACTGGTGACGGACAGCCATGCACATCATGGTGGCCAGGAAGCTGAGAGATAAGGGAGGGACTAAGGAAGGGGGACATCCTTCCAAGTGACACCTCCAGTGACCTGCCTCCTCCACCAGGTCATACTTGCCAATGGCACATTTAGCTATGGATCTATTTGGGGATTAATCAAGTATAGTGCCCCCATGATCCAATCATAAACCCACCTTTGAAGAACCCACCTCTGAATACGGGAGAGTTTGGGGGGACATTTTAGATCTAAATCATAACACTGTGCAGTAAGGTATCAACACTCTAGCACTTCAGGTTTGAATATGAATGAAAACATCAGAGTATGTTCAGACAAGCATTTCATGGTGAGAGGCAGAGAAATCTCAGCTCAAAAAACAGATGCAATAAAGTAAGGTGAAACAGAGGCTGTCATGTTACAACTGGGGAGCTGATTGCTGCAATAACAGCTGGAATTAAAAGGTAGATCAGGGGCTGGGAGTGAAGCTTAGCAGTACCTTGGATTCAGTCTCCCAATGAGGATTGGGAGTAGACCAAGACGTGAAGGGGGGCAAAAGGCGACCAACACTGAGATCACTGAATAACAAGTGGAAAATGAGATAGCTCTTCTGTACAGAATTCCAGGAAATAAATGTAAAGCAGTAGAAATAGAAAGTCATCATTACTATGCAAACCACAAGAATGATTGCTGCAAGAAGGAACTATCCATAAACTCTAAACTAGTGAAGGGAAGTGTGACAGCATACCGAATTTCTTTTCCTTCGGCCGAGGTCTTATTAGTTTGCCTGAGTTGGTCCAAAACTCCAGGGCTCAAGCAATCCTCCCATCTCAGTGTGTCAAGTAGTTAGGACTACAGACATGCATCATACTGCCTAACTGGCACCCAAGATGCTTACCTGCTCTCAAAGCCATCTCCTCACAAGACTCTTACTAATAATGAAGGGGAAAACAGTAAACTTAGTGAAAAAACCTGGCAGACACCACCTCAGTTGGTTGGCCAAGGTTAACATCGCCAGTAATAATTCATACAGATACAGCTTCATGATAGGATGCACTGGAACCACATCACTTCTAACAAAAATGTAGACTCAACCTAGTCACGAGAAAACAACATTCCAGTGAGCACTGAGAGCTATTCTAATAAAACAAATATCAGTACTCTTCAAAAACTTCTATGTCATAGAAGAAAGGCTGAGGAACTGTCGGATTGGAGGAAACGAGGATGACATGAAAATTAAGTACATGAGATCCTGGATTGGATTCTGAAGCAGAAAAAGGGATATTTGTCAGAAAATAGGCAACATTCAGTTTCCTGTAATAGGGCACTTAACTAGAACAAGTATCAACCCCCAGTATCCTCACCCTAAAATCAATTTCTCGGAGAGTCACATTCAGCATGCTGGCTGCTGGGCATGGGGAGATGTGCCATTCGCCCTCGAACCAAGGCCAAGTTGGTCCCTAAGGTTGTAAAAAGGCCCCTCACAATGAGGAAGGCTGCTGTGCCTTTCTCAAAACCTCAGCTGGCCACATTCTGGCACTGTGGTGAGGGAACCTGTTCCTTTGACCCCTGCCACCTTCTCTATAGCTAGTCAGAGCTTTTTAAAAAGGGGCCAATGGTGGTTAAAACTAGTAGCTTCAATCCCAGCACTCGGGAGGCTGAGGCAGGAGGATCGTTTCGAGTTCGAGACCAGCCTGGGCTACAAAGTGAGCTCAAGGCCAGCCTGAACTGCACAGTGAGACCCTGTCTCAAAAAGACAGAAAAAAACAAAACAAAAAAAAATAGTAGCTTCAAATAGCTCACAATTAAAAAAAAAATAGCTCACAATTAAGGAAACTGTGCTGAATGCTTTGGTGACCACTGAAGAGTGTGCTTTTAAGTTGGAGAGATCATAGGCTACCATGGCATTATTGGCTATAAAGTCTGAAGACCAATCTTTAACATATGATTATAGTTATTAGTTGAGTGTTGTTAGACCACATATGATCAGACTGCTACCCAAATAAAATGTGTTAAAAAGAGAAAACTAGGGCCAGGGATTTAGCTCAGCGCATAAGTGCCTGCCTCGCAAGTGAGGTCATGAGTTCGATCCTTGGTACCAAAAAAAAAAAACCTAGAAAAATTCAAGTAAAGTCTATAGATTAGTTAATATAGTTAACTACTGTATCTGTAATTAGTTAATATAGTTAATTACTGTATCTGTAAATTCCCTGGTTTGGATAATTGTACTGTGGTTATACAAGGTATTAACTAGGGATAACTGGGGGACGGGAGGCTCTGTACTCTACAACTTCCTATAATCTAAAATTATGTCCAAAAAAGGCTTTAAAAACTAGGGGATTTTATTAAAATATATATTCTTATTCATAGAAGACCTGAAATTCTGCTTTTCTCAAAATGTCATGTTGAGATTTCAGGTTCCAATGACATATTTGAATAGCAAGACTTTGTTCCCCTCAGGGGCACTGGGGTGTAACTGACTCATCTTTACCTGTGCATATTTAAAATGTGTTGACAAATGTATATATTCATGAATCAATTGCCACAATCAAGATAATGAATTTAATGTTAGGAGGCAAATCTACAAAGGTATCTCATATCTGCTTGCAAAGCAAGCAGATGCCCTGTGGTCTCTGCTGTAAAGTAGAACTGGTGTCTCCCTCCAAAGCACAGGGAAATTTTTCTACTCTCTAATAGATTAAAAATAATTTCCTTGGGGCAAAAACTGGGCAGATTTACTTCTAACCCCTTATGAAAGACTCAGGGTTTTCTGCTTTATTTTACCTGTGGTTCCTCAGCAGTACTACAAAACACTGGTATCCTAGCACCAACCTGGACTGTTCTGCATATGACTTGAGAGGCCAGAAAAACCCATGCAAGCATGAAGATGCGATGCTCACTGTGTCATGAGTCATCAAAGGCTTAATCTCCGGCCTCGAAGTCCCAGGCCTTCAGTCAGTGTCCATGAAACCATGGAAGTGTAGCTTGACAGCTTTGGGTGTAGGAGTTTCACATTTTGCTGGGGTTTGCAGGGTTTTGTGATGAAACTGGGATGCAGCCGGAGACTTGGCTTTCTGGAAAGGAGAGAACATGAGCTCCTGGGGATTTGGGAATAGGATATGAAAGCCCCTTGGAGTCTGGAAGCAAACGCTCTTGCCTAACTAGATGGGAAGTGAGGGAATGGAAATTTGCTAGCTCTAAAGCATCTGACTTATAATCTTCTAAAAATAAAAATCATTACTTGATATTATCATTTTTTCCTACAGTTTCCTTTAAATAAAACCCATTTTTAAAATTATTGCTATAACTACTGATTTCTCTGAGTTCACCAAAGAGAAAGAATGTGATCTACGTGAATGATTTGGGAATGACAATGTGCAATGTACCATTGTTGCCCCCTGGTTGACGTGTTTTGAAATTTTGTTGTAGTTTTTTTCTCCTCCTTTTTCTTTTTTTTCTATCCTTGAATAAAATGAATTTGAAAAAAATATTGCTATACAGGGAAAGGACAAAAAAAGGGAAAAGATTATATATGTGTGTATATATATAAATATATATACACGTGTATATATATAAATATATATACACGTGTATACATATATACAAGATAGTTACACTAATCTGCTAGTTCATCAAAAAGGATAGTTTGTGCTTTGTTTTGATCATTTTACTTTGAAGATAATATGCAATATATTAACTAGTGTTAATTTTCTATTATTTTGTTTTGAAATTCTGAATCATCGTTTTTATTCTTTTTTGTTAAAATAAAAAAAATTATTGCTATATATAATCAAATAAACTTAGGAAAGTCAGCTCCACCTAATGATCATCATAATCTCCATAATGCTCATTTTAGGTTAATGTTCTTGGAATAAAAAAAACAATACGCCAGACATGGTAGGGTAGCACATGCCTGTAATCCCAGCACTCCTGGGAAATTGAAGCAAGAAGACTGTAAGTTCAAACACAGCCTGGTGAACCTGATGAGACCTTGTCTCAAAATTTTAAAAATCGGTGCCAGGTGTGGTGGCATATGCCTACAATCCTAGCACTCGGGAGGCTGAGAAAGGATGATTGCTGTAAATTCAAGGCCAGCTTGAGTTTGAGGCCAGACAGAACTGCATAGCAATACCTGTCTCCAGCAAACAAAGAAACAAATATTTTAAAAGAGGCCTGGAAACTTAGCACAGTGCAAAGGTCTCAAGTACCATACACACACTGACAAGAAAACACAATAATGACAAACCATTTCCTTTTTTCAAATGTCTGTTTATCGTTCTTCAATTTTCCTACTATAAAATGATTCCACAGTCACAGAAATAGTAAAATTCCACTGCAGTCAGGGAATTTAACCAGATTATTTGTCTGACTCTTTCACCATTTGGATGTCACTAAGTATGTATACAGACTCAAAACAATAAACGAGACACACAAAATTAAAATGGTTTTAATTTACCAACATTAATCATCCACTGTTTCACTGTACTTTCCCAATCACTTTAGATTATAATTTTCAAAAAGGATTTTAATAGCTGCCAAGCTAACTCTACCATATTAACATATGAAATTAACTTTTCTCCAGTTATTTATAATCTTTCAAAATATTTAAAAATACAGTACAATTTCACAACAAATTATATTTTCCCCATCACAAAGAATTAACCCTCTTCTCTGATTTGTACAAGAATGAAATACAGAATAAGTCTAGGGGCTAGGGATTTAGCTCAGTGGCTCAAGTGCTTGCCTGGTAAGCATGAGGTCGTGAGTTTGATCCATGATACCAACAACAACAACAACAACAACAACAACAAAGATTAAGTCTAAAAAGAATCTAAAGAGGCAAGGTTTCCAAAATCTGTTTTTGTCTAACTATAATAAGGCCAAATTTACCTGCAGTTAGAACTGTCATTAAAGGGGCTGGGGATTTAGCTCAGCAGCATAAGTGCCTGCCTTGCAAGCGTGTGGTTGTGAGTTCGATATAATTCCAAACAAACAAAAAACATACGCTTCTTTCTCTGTGACTTTTTCTTTTTGTGGTGTTAAGGATTGAACCCAGGGCCTCAGACATGCTAGGCTCTCACCTAAGCTGGCAGTGGTGGCATCCACCTGTAATTCCAGTTAGCTGGCAAGCTAAGGCAGGCAGACGCCAAGTTTGAGGCCAGCCTGGGCAATTTACAGAGACCTGGTCACAAAAAAAAATTTTTAAAGGGCTGGTGGAATAGTGTTATGGTTGATATACTGTGTTAAACTTGATAAGTTTAAGTTTTAACTGAGAGACTCAGCAGGAAGCCAAGGTTCTTACTTTGTAAATATCCTCATCCTGTGCAAGAGGAGGGCACAGAGATTTTGTGAGTGCCTCACTTGCCTGGGGTGTTGGGGTGTCCTGTGTACAATATAAAGGAGGAGAAGAGGCTTGGTTTTCCCCCTTTTGCTAAGGCTGCTGCCTTGAAGTGTTGCCCCACTGCCATGCTATCCTACCTTGAAGCCAGCTGATTATGGACTGAAAAATCCAAAAACTTGGGTGTTGGATGTTTGTCTCAGCAATGAGAGAAAAGTAACCAAGACAAATAGCTTAGCGGGACAGTGTTTATATAGTGGGTTTGAGGCTCTGGATTCAATCTCCTTTAGTGCAGAGGGAGCCCAGGTAAAATTAAAATAAGCAAAAGTTAAGTTCAAATAGACCACACAATGAGTGAAAAATTTATATGCTCATGAAAAGCATTTCTAGTGCTAGTGGCAATCCTGTACCTGCAGATCTTAAAAATGGTTTGTGTGGGCCAGCCAACCAAGGAACCTCAACATGGAGGTGAGATTCAGAGGCCAAATTAAGAGTCAACTGGTTGTTGTAATTAAAATCTGCAGTTGATAACTGTTAAAAGTACACAAAACAAACGTTTTCATTTTTCAGAAGTTAAAGAACAAAATGAAAAAAATAAAAACTGGAAATTTCTAAAATAAAATGGTTTGTGTGGTTCTTAATAACTAATATGTTGACAATCATTAAGGATATTAAGTACATAGATTATAAATTTACTGATGCATATGAATTAGAATCTATATTTACTATCTTGCACAAAAAGGAAATTTCCTAATTTTCCACAAAATCATTCTGAAACCTTTACACAAATCAGATATTTTGCATAAGATTAGAATATGATGACAGCTATGTACAAAATATGTAAGCTGTACATACTTCCTTAACATTCTAAGTAAAGGTATCTTTGAAACTTTTGCTATTATACAAAAGTATTAGTACCACACCCTATAGTGAGCAGAAAAGATATAGGTGAACCTTTCTGCTCAATATATTATAAAATCATTTATAAAATCATGTTCAAAATCTGTATACATTTTGCCTGGAAGGATCTGAAAAATCCGACTTTTATTTATTTATTTTTCCCCTGACACAGGGTCTCACTTTGTAGGGCAGGCTGGCCTTGAATTCATGGCAATACTCCTGCCTCAGTCTCTCGAGTATTGGGATTACAAGCATATGCTACCATGTCCAGCTCACATAATGACTTCTGAAGTCACTGGACTGATTTTTAAAAATTTAAAAATATGGTCCCTTTAGGTCTCAATTCACCAATCAAAAGAGAAAGACCTGCAGAATGGATCAAGAAGCAAGATCCAACAATATGCTGCATACAAGAAAAACATTTAGTTAAAAAAGAAATTCATAGACACTCAAAAGATGGAAAATACTTCATGGAACAGGAACCTGGAAAAGAGCGGTAGTTATTCTACTTACAAACAAAGTGGATTTCAAGCCAAGACTTATTAAGAGAGGTCACTACATCTTTGTAAAGGTAACAATCCAAGAAGATATAACAATCATAAATATCTATGTACTAAGATATGGCTCATTTAGCAAACAATTCAATTGGCAAAATATCAGAAACTTCACTGAAGAGGACAAATGGATGGCAAAAAGCACACAAAAATATTCAATATCATAGGGAAACGCAAATTGGAGCGACGAGATAGCATTACACAGTTATGAGAAGGGCTGAACTAAAAATAGCGACAACATCCAATGCTGGTGAGAATGTGAGAAATTAGATCACTCATACACTGCTGGTAGGAATGTAGAATGGTACAGCCACTCGGGAAACCACTTCAAGTTTCTTGAAAGGACTTTTTTTGGCTTTTGGCAATGCTAAGGATCAAATCCAAGGCCTTGCACTTACTAGGCAATTGTTCCACCATTAAGCTACACGACAATCATCACTTCAAATGGAATCCCTATGTCATTTTTTCTAAGCAAGTTATTTATCTAGATACACCATTTTATAAAAAACCAAATTTTAATAAAGGGAAGAAGAACAGTAGAGATAGAGTAAAAATTTCAGAAATACCAGATTCTGTAGGCTCCTATCTCTACCCTTCCCACATTCCTGTGGGCGAAAGGTCTCAAGGGATATGGTGACAATAGCACCTGTGATTTTTTTTTGCACCTGTGATTTTATTTTTATTTTATTTATTTATTTTTGAGACAGAGTCTATTAGTGCAGGCTGAGCTGGCCTTGAACTCACTTATGTAGTCCATGCTGGCCTCAAACTGTATCAGCAATCCTCCTGCCTCAGCCTCCTAAATGCTGGGATTACAGATACACAATCACCATGCCCGGCACATTCTTCTGTGATGCTGGTGTTAAAATATTTATGGCTCAACAAACAAACAAACTATAATTCTGAATCACCTACTTGATGTTTTGGCTGATTTGTACCAGATTGGTAATTTGGCTTGGGGAATTTGAGAAATGATTCTGCGGTCAGGTAAGTCTTTAAGGTAATGTATATTAGGGGCTTTTAATTCTGACCTGAGAAACATGATCTAATTTTCCCAAAAGAACCCAGAATCCTTTAGAGTGGATCCAAGGCTTCTAAACTCTCCCTAGGATGATTCTAGAATTGCTAGACTCCAAGGCACAGTAAAGTTAAACCTTCCCTCAAAGTAACTACACAATTTTTGCCAGACTCCTAGGGTGTACTATTTTTTTTTTTTTTTTTTTTTTTTTTTTTGTCTTTTTCGTTTTTATTGGTACCAGGGATCGAACTCACGACTGCCTGCTTGCAAGGCAGGCACTTATGCCGCTGAGCTAAATCCCCAGCCCCAGCTGCACTATTTTAAATTAAAGATTAATTCTTATGGTAAGTGCTTTGCAGAAGGGGATATTTCTATATCATCAGAATGTCTAGCACTCTTTAAGATTCAATCTGTTCATCATCTACAGTCAACTACATAAAAGCCATTAATACTAGGTCTTCAAATACCCTCAAAGATTAATATAACTGGGGGGGTAAGGTAGCTCAGTGGTAACAGTGCATGCTTAGCATGTGCAAGGCCCTCAGTTTGGTCACCAGCACCAAAAGAAAAATTAATATAATTATGTGCAATTGTGGATTTAAACTGTATCTACACAAATACATTTGTAAACATGCAGACATATAAAGAAATTTTAAATAAGCAATATGAGGATCTTAGGTCTCATAACACAGTCATCCTCAAACTAATACACATTTTACTTACAACAAATGTAAGCAGCGCCTTATAAACAAATATATATAACATCAAAACATACTTGCCAACAAAGGTGCACTCAAGAGTATAAAAGTGAAACCTCACCCCACCCATGTGAAGGCAGTGTTGGGTTGTGGGGGAGCAGGCAGGGCCTGTGCTCTCAGAGCTTCTGGTCTAGGGAATCTGCACAAAGGAGGTAGGAAAAACCATTGTTTCCTTTATTCAGAGAGGAGAGGGAAGCAGGAAAACAGATCCAATCACACATGATCTGCAGAATACAGAAATCCTACACTGAAGTCACAGGCCTACTAATTAAGACCTCAGAGGCTTGCAGAGGTGGCACTGAGGGTGGCTGGACACAAATGGTAGGGAATGAATGCAGGCTGGGAGTGCGGCTCAGCGGCAAAGGCCTCGCCTCGCAGGCTTGAAGCCCTGAGTTTGATCCCTAGCACCAGAAGCAGGAAAAAGACTATAACATGAACTGTATTTATAATTTTGTCTCATTGACAAGCAAAGAAGAAACCCTGTTTATTTTTAAAACACTACCTTTTCAGAATGGGAAAAAAACAAATAAATCATGCATAGGTACTAATTCTCTGCAGCGAATGTGATCACAATGTATATCTAAAATTTAACAATGAAATCTGATTGGAAAAGAAAAAACCCATTAAAAATAAAATAAAATACTACCTTTTTTCTAAAACCCACTTCCTAGGGTAAAATGAAGGACTGAGAAAAGGAACATGACTATATTCAGGGACCTCAGTTTCCCTCTAACAGCCTGCATATGTGGTTCTTAATTGGGGATGAATTTTGCCTCCTTTAGTGGCACTATTTGGAGACATTTTTGGCCATACTAACTAGAAGTATGCTATTGGTAGCCGAAGCATGGAGGTCAGGGATTCTGCTAAACATCCTACCACCCCAAAACCAAGAGTTATCTAGGCTAAAATATCAATGGTGAGACTAGGGGCTACATCATAGTTGGAAACATAAGATTTAAAAGTCAGTAAGTCTCTAGAATAAAGTCAGGAATGGTGGTGCACACTTGTAATCTCTACACTTGAGAGGCTGAGGCAGGAGAACTGCCACAAGTTTGAGGCCAGCCTGGGTTACATATTGAGTTCAGGGCCAGCCTGGACAACATAGTGAGACCCTGGCTTAAAAAAAACCAAAAAACCATACCACTTTAAAATATACTTTGTAGCATTTCATTCTCCTTATTGGGACTGCTGGAGACCTAGTAAAAATATTTAACAGCTCCATTAATGGGAAAATAAAACATAGAAGAGTTAGCACATTTTATAAAAGCTGCAAATTTAGCATACAAATAAAATATAAACTTGACAGATGGGAAAGGCAATTTTTTTGCTCAACTGATTTTGAATAACTGTTAATAAAACTGCAAAAACAGGGGCTAGGGCTTTAGCTCGGCGGCATTAAATGCCTGTCCTGCAAGCGCACAGTCCTAAGTTTGATCCCCAGTACAAAAAACAAACACTCTGCAAAAACAAGGGTCACAGTATTTCTGATTTTGGTTAAATCAGACAAAAGATTTATTCAACTTTGTCACTAAAAATGTTCTAATTACTAAAAGTAAGAGGTTAGTTTCTAGATTCACAAAAGAAAAAAAAAGAGCCACCATGTGGTTGGGTGTTCTGGAGACTAAACCCAGGGTTGCTCTACCACTGAACTACATCCCAGGCCCTTTTAAAATTTTGAAACAGTATATTCCTGAGCTGCACAGGCTGGCCTTGAACTTGTGATCCTCCTGCCTCAGCTTTATAGTCTTGGGATTATAGATTTGTGCCATCATACCTAGCTCAGCCACTTGATTTTTAGGGAAATGCTCAATTCCAAAGATATTCAGTTAGAGCTATTTTCTAACATTATATAACAGATATTTACTTATTTATTTTGTATGGGGATTGAAATTAGGGCCTTATACTACCCTAAGCTATACTGCCAGCCCTTAAAAAAAATTTTTTTTGGCTAGGTATTATGGCTTAAGCCTATAATCTCAGCATCTGGGAGGCTGAGGCAAGAGGATTATGGTAAGTTCAAGGCTATCTTGGGCTATATAGTAAGTTCTAGGTCAGCCTGAACTACTTGCCTTAAAAAATGTTTTTAAATGTTTTTTAACTTTTGAGATAGAGTCTCACTAAATTGTTAAATTGCTCAGGCTGAGCTCAAAATTGCAGCCCTTCTAACTCAGGTTCTTCCTACTTGTCCTGGGATTACAGGTGTGTGCCAACCACAACCAGCTTATTTCCAAATCTTTTTTTTGTTTGTTTTTGTACCAGGGATCAAACTCACAACCTCACACTTGCCAGGCAGGCGCTGTGCTGTTAAGTAAATCCCTGGCCCATTATTTCCAAATCTTAATAGAGTTCTATATATTTGTTGCAATGACTCCACCCTAGAAAATTTCAGTAACTAAAGAAGATACATTATTTAAAAAAAAAAAAAAAGATAATTGTAAGTCACTGAAATGTAACTGCAGAAACATAATCTGATCGCTTTTTCTATCATATCTGACAACAAAATGGACTACATGACAAGAACAAAATGATTCCTTGAAACAGTCCTTCTTCTAATTACATCATTTTCTAATAAGTACATCTACAACTGTAAGACCATATGTGAACAGCCAGGTGACTGCACAGCACTCAGAAGGCTGAGATAGCAGGATCACCATGAGTTTGAGGGCAGGCTGGGCTACACAGTGAGCTCAAGGCCAATCTGAACCAGACCGTGCCTCAAAAGAGAGAGAGAGAGAGAAAGAGAGAGAGAGAGAGAGAGAGAGAGAGAGAGAGAGAGAGAGAGAGAGAGGAACAGAGAGACAGAGAGACTTTGTGTGAGCAATTTTGGCAGAAAGGAAAATCAATTCATTCATTCATGCATGCAAATCCAAATGGAGGGAGGGGCAAACACCACAAGAACAGGCTGGAGCTCTCAACTGCTTTAGGACAGTTTCAAAGGCTTTTCTTCTACATTGTTTTTAGCAATAAGATTTGAAAGTAGGAGGCTGTCCCTGGTCCTCAGGGTCTCTGGCTCAGGGGCTACAGGAAAACCATTAGTGTGGGCACATTGCTGGCCCTTCTGTCACCTCTTGCACAGTTGCTCATTTCAGAACAGTGAGCAGACTGGACAAACACTAAAGGATAGTGGAACTGAGGTATCCCACAGTAGGGGGCACTTGCCTAGCATGCATGAGGCCCATGGTTCAATCCCAGAACTGCCACAAACAAAAGAAATGAGCAAACAAACAGAAAACCAGACAAACTAACAAGTAAAATACCCCCACATAGGCAGTTTTTAAGTTAGTAATAAATTATGGGAACTTCCTCAAATTAAACTGTCAATTAGGCACTTTAAAACAAAGGGCACTTGTGTAGCCATCTTCAAACTAAGAACAGAACAGGAGAAGAAATGCAAGATTTATGATAACTACTTGCACTTTGTAAAAAACAAGTTATACTTTAGCCAGAAGTTTCTAAGAGAAATGTTTTTTGAGAAGGAAAATAAGAATTGTTTCTTAAAAACCAATACTCTTTTTAGTTCATTAATTAATAACAGCTTTTCAACATAAAAAAGTTCGGATTTGGTTGAACAAGGTAAAATTAAGGCAATGTCTTTATGCCCAATAAAAGAAAGCACTATCTAATATGCTTATCTGAGAGGGACATACTGAACTTATATCTGGGTATAACATTGAAATATAAAATACTAAAGTTTCAAAATTCCACATTTTCTCAGTTATTCTTGCTTTTCAGCTATTCTGAGTTTCAAACAGCCCATGTCAATAAATGCAAGAAACACTTTTCACATAATTTTGGAACAGAAGGTAGATGGTGCTTGCCGACAGTTATTAGCACCCAGATCTTAACCAACTGTGTTCTGTGCACCACTGAGCCCTGCATCAAAAAGGAGGGCCCTAGGACGAGGAAAATACAGTTGGAAATGGCAAAAGGCCTTTGGACTTTGATAGAAAACGACATGTCAAGTTCTGAGGTATTGCTGCCTTATTAATTTTACCAAGGTGTAGATTTTTTAAAGTGAGAGGTTTTTGTTTGTTTTTCAAAGGGCAACACTTTTCCTCCCTGGAGCTTCAGTGTTGGGACCATGGCCGCGTCATCCCCGCGGTGCGCAGCTGGACCAGTTCATCCGGGGTCACACCTTGCTGTACCAATTCATGGAGCGCTTCACCGCTTTCACCCAGTTTTCCATATTCACTTTGTAGTCTTCCCATGTCTTTTGTGGCTTGAAGACGATTTCACTTTGCCTCAGTTTCTTTAGCTCTTCCTTGTCCTTCCAAAAGCCTTATAGATGAAAAAATGAGTCTTAAATTTTCACGCAAATAATGGGTCCACAAAATTTAGCCACAAACGCATGTGTTTTGTGCTACGCAAACAAAACCACTAGTGTTTTCAAAAACAACCCACTCGATTTTGTTGCTTTAGATTTGTTAGATCAGACTATTCCTGAGAATACATACACCAAGATTTTAAAATCCTGGTTGCTAATGGTTAGCTTTTTCTAAGTGGTGTCAAATCACTTTTAAAACAGAAACACCTAACATCATTTCATTAGATGACCTGTAATTAGTTTTTAAAAAAGAAATTATACACACACACACACACCCATATCCACACACAAGCTTGTTTGTTCTAGGGTCTTCTGTTTATTTATTTTGGTACTAGGGATTGAACTCATGATCTTGCACTTGCCAGGCAGGCCCTTATGCCAATGAGCTAAATCCCCAGCTCCTGTTTTGTTTTTCTGAAAAAGGGTCTCTCGATGTAGTTCAGAGAGGACCTGAACTCACTGTGAGTGGTAGGACTACAGGTGTGTACCACCATACATAGCATATTCTCATTAAAATGAGTGAGGTAGCTTGGCATGGTGAAGCATGCCTGTGTTTCCCTCACTCAGAGGCTGAGACAGGAGGATTTCTGTGAGTGCAAGCCCAGCATGGGCTACATAGTGAGTTCAAGGGCAGACTGAAGTACACAGAGACCCTGTCTCAAAAATCCAAAACAAACAAAAGTGAAGGGGGCCAGATGTGGTGGCCATGCCTATAATCCTAGCACTCAGGAGGTTGAAGAAGAGAATCACCTCACATTCAAGGTCAGCTTGTGCTACAGGCTGATACATAGTGAGTTCAATACCACCCCAAACTGTATAAGGGGACATTGTCTCAAAAACACAAAGAAAAAGAGTAAAGGTAAATTACTATTTTTTTTTTTTTTTTTTTGTCTTTTTCGTTTTTACCGGTACCGGGGATCGAACTCACGACTGCCTGCTTGCAAGGCAGGCACTTATGCCGCTGAGCTAAATCCCCAGCCCCCATAAATTACTATTTCTGTGATACATCTTCAAGTGAGTGGCAACTCTTGCAGACGCCTAAAATTCAAAGTTAAGAATTAATATGATAATTTCTTTTTCAAACTATAGCATTTCATAGAGTATCAATTCCAATTCAAGTGAAAATTCTAGTTCTAGAAGATACTGTTCTTTGCAAAGAGAATCATAGGATAAATTCATTAGTGCTGTTTCCCTGTGGAGCTGGGTATTAAAATCTACAGCCTCTGAGCTACACCCCTTGGCCAGACCCATCATGTGACTGGGAATAAAAAGCAGCACTTGGAAGTCACACCTGGAGCCATCATCATGAAGTAGCATGAAGTGATGGTGTCTCATCAGTAAGCCCGGAATCTCTCATCCACTCAGAGGTCCGTTTCGCCTACTTTGAAGTTTAACTCAGTCTACAGCTCTGTGAAGTACCTTTTCTCTTGAATAGAAAGGTTTTTAATGACATATATATTTTTTCCTAATTTTGTTTTTCAGTACTAGGGATTGAAACCGGGCCTTCACACTGAGCCACATACTCAGTGCTTTATAAAATTTTAAGCTGGGAAACATGTCTCTAAGTCACTTAGTCTGGGCTTGAATTTGTAATCTTCCTGCCTCAGTCTCCCAGAATGCTGGGATTTTAGTTGTGCACTATCATGCTTGGCTTTTTTTTTTTTTTTTTAATTTGTTTTTGGTCACCTTTTTATTTACAAAACTACACATATACCATCTGTACATCAGCTAGAGGAATCTAGTCATGAAAATAAACACTTCTTAAAATACTCATTTTCACAATTTCTTTTTTTTTGTCTTTTTCCTTTTTATCGGTACCAGGGATGGAACTCACACGACTGCCTGCTTGCAAGGCAGGCGCTTATGCCGCTGAGCTAAATCCCGAGCCCCTACAATTTCATTTTTATACTTTAAGGTACATACACATTTTTAAATCGTCTTAAGTACATGCAGAATAGAGTGTTTCTGGGATAAATTTAGAAAAAAAACAGAATGTACATAATCTTCAAGTATAATGTTCCTTTTTCTTTTTTCTTAATGCTACTGGGCATTAAACTCAAGGACACTCTACCCTGAGGAATATCTCACCCTTCTTTATTTTATTTTATTTGAAACAGGGTCTCACTATGTGGATCAGGCTGGCTTTGAACTCACTATGTACCCCAGGCTGACCTCAAATGTAAGCTGATCCTCCTGCTTCAGTCTTCTAGATATTGGAATTACAGGTGTGTGCCACCACATCCACTCCCAGCCTCCTCCCTACTTTTTTAAAAAATCTTTTTTCGGGGGTTCAGGATCTCATTAGGTTCCTCTGGCTGGTCTCCAATTTGCAATCCTTCTGCCTCAGCCTCCTGAGAGGCTAGGATTACAGATGTGTACCCCTGTACCCAGCTCAGGTCTCACATTTCTGAGAGCCAAAATTTGAAATTAACTATAGATTTAATGAAGAGGATAAAACTCAAGCTACTATGTTATGTTTAAGAATAGTCTTAAATTTTGAGGGGTTGGGGAGGTTAGTGGGATCAAACAAAGGGGCTTCACCCTGACCCATATCCTCAGCAATTTTATTTTGGAGTGACAGTCTCACTAAAAAGCTGGGTTAGGGCCAGAGAAATAGCTCAGGGGCACAGTGCCTGCCTGGCAACCACAAGGTCCTGAGTTCAAGTCCCAGTAAATTAAGCTAGGTTACACAGGCTAGGCTTGAGCTTGTGACCTCCCTGACTTTGCCTCCCAGAGTTCTGGAATTACAGGCATGTGCCACAACACCCGTAGTGATTTATTAAAATGGTTAGCTTAATTTATTCAATTTGCGAGCATTATGTAAGTATCTGAGAATTATTTTCTTGTTACATTCTGTTTTTGCTTGACTAGGCATTTCAAATTATTAGTGCAAGCGGGGTATGGTAGTACACGCCTGTAATTCCAGCACTCAGGAGGCTGAGGCAGGAAGATCACAAGTTTAAAGCCAGTTTAGATAGTGTAGCAAGACTGCCTTCCCTCTTGGTTTTACCACATAGCACTTCCATTCAAGACATGTTTTCTCAGCAGGCATGATGGTGCATGCCTGTAATCCCAGCACTGGGAGGCTGAGGTAGAAGGATCATTTTGAGTTCAAGACCAGTGTGGGCTACAAAGTGAGCTCAAGGCCAGCCTGAACTGCATAGGGAGACCCTGTGTCAAAAAAAAAAAAAAGAGAGAGAGATGCTTTCTCTCTTGAACCCACTCTCTCTGCCCACTCTTCACCCTGTCCCCACCTGTCTGCCAGCTGCTTCCAACGTTAACTCCCTACTGCGTCTTCAGGGAAGCCTACCCATACTCTACACTACTGCTGCCCACTGGCTGTATCACATGAGTATGATAATCTTCTGTTTGGCATTTCTGTTTTCGACACCTGCCTAATCCCACAAGAGACCTGGACTGTGGCTTTAACCTCATTATTCTCAGCAGTGATGATCCTATAGCAGGTGATCTACAAATGCTATTCAGTAAATAAAGGAAGGGAGTGGTTTCTAAAGCCAAAGACAATCATCCTATTGGCAAAGATTCTCCTTTTGGGGACGGAGGTACTGAGGACTAAACCCAGGATCTTGACCCTGAGCTACATTCACAGTTTTTTAAACATTGTTTTATTCTTGAGACAAGGTCTCATTAAGTTGCTAAACTTTCTGGCTGGGCTCAAACTTGTAATTCTCGTGCCTCACTAAGCCGGCTGTGGGGTAGACTCACAAGCACAGGCCACCACACCTGGCTAAGATTTTCTTCTTTGTCAAAGTCTACTCAATCTTTTCTGAGCTGTTTTTCAACTACATTTCAACTTTGAACCTTTGTTCATTTCTGCATTCTTTCTGTTTAGGCAGAACCTTGTCACGTCAGTTTAGCCAGAGTCTCCAATCCTCAGTATCTGATCTTCCCAGCTACCTCTTCCACCACCCACCCCCAGTGATATGTGGTCTCACCGCCTTCCACAAAAATCCTGTTGGGCTGGTTTCCAGCCAGAAGCTCCTTTTTCCCTAAGTTTCCTGCTAGTAACTTTTTTACCTACTGGCCCTTACTCTGGCCTATGGCTGTAGGTTCTCACTTCTACAGTAGTGCCTATGCCTCCTCAGTGGGCCTCTGGGGTCACAAAGAACTCTTTTCTTTCACACTAGCTGCCCTCCCTCAAGAGATAACAAAACAGCTGAAGCTCACAGGCCACCCTTCCTAGCTCAGACCAAAGGAGTGACAGCTGGACAGGTGGAACCAGACCCATGACAGGAGGGCTCCAGAGCAATGTGGCTTGTGTGTGAGGTCAGTGAAGCTTTGCAGACATGCCCAGCCAGGAGAAATGTGACCATAAAGATGCTGACCACAACCCAGGCATGGTGGCACCTGCCTGCAATCCCAGCACCTGGAAAATTGAGGAAGGAGGACTGTAAGTGAAGTCCTACTTGGCAACTTAGTGACTTAGTGAGACTCTATCACAAAATTTAAAATAACAGTAACCATAGTAATAATAATGATGATGATGATAAATGGCTGGGGGTGTAGCTAAGTGCAAAGGTCATGGGTTCAATCTCCAGTACAACAGGAGGAAAAATGCTCCTAAATGAGACAGACACTTTTGTATCAACCTCTTTGTGTGTGTGTGTGTGTGTGTGTGTGTGTGTGTCTTTTTGAGACAAGGTCTCACTATGCAGTTCAGGCTGGCCTTGAGCTCGCTCACTCTGTAGCCCAGGCTGGTCTCAAACTTGCAACAATCCTCCTGCTTCAGCCTCCCTAGTGCTGGGATTACAGGCATGCACCACCATGCCCCGCTTACCTCAACCCCTTATCACTTGGGGAGCACACTGCCACTCTGAGTAACTTGAAAGTTATTCTTCCTTTTCATTTCAGCTGAAACTCTTTGGAGTAGTCCACAAGGAACCACAAGGTCCCTGAGTCACGCTGACTCATTCTTTTAGGCAGCTTAGAGAAAACCTGGCAGGGCACGCACAGGGAGGTTCATGCTCCCAATTTTCTAAATGTGATCTGATTACAAACTAAGCAAGTCCAGGAATGTGTCTTTGTTTTTCAAGTGTGTGCCCCATGACCATGAACTGAGCACACCTAGGAATATGTCAGTTTTCTCTCTTTCCATTTTTGAGACAGACAGGGTCACGATATAGTCCAGACGGGCTTGGAAACTGCAATGTAGCCAAGGCGGCTCTCAAACTCTGGATTCTCTTGCCTCAGTCTCTCAGGCACTGGCGTTATAGGAGCGCCACCATGCCCCGTGCCATCTTCCTTGCTGGAACATGTCATCTACAACCATAAACTGAGCATGTTCAAAAATGTGCCGTGCACTTTCTTATATGCGTTTAGACTTCCTCAATAAAATCCCCAACACTGCTTTACAAATAGGCTACTACTCTCCTTACCTGCTCCAGGAAATAGATCTTTCTCCACTCTGATCACTTGGTTCTGCTTTTTGGCTTTACATTCACCTAGACATGAAGTTACTGCATTTACTTACTACAAGAAACCTCTCCATTTTCAACAAAATTTAGAGATACTAGTCAGGTGTGATGGTGTACGCCTGTGACTCCAGCACTTAGGCTGAGACAAGAGGATCACCATGAGTTCAAGGCCAGTGTGGGGTACATAGTGAGCTCAAGACCAGCCAGGACTATACAGCAAGATCCTGTCTCTAAAAACAAAACAACAAAATGAAACAAAATTCTCACATACCAACAGCAAGGCCAGCCAGAGAAGCCGCCCCCAGGCAGGACATGTCAAAGTGGACAGGTCTGTCTATATTCTTATTGATCAAATCTGAAGTCATCTGCATGACAAAATCGTTCCTACACACTCCTCCATCTGCTCTGTGGATTCAGAGACATGAGATAAGTTATTGCAGCACTAGTACCGCTCATTCTTTTCCTCTGGGCTACATATTTTTTTCTTAAATCCTTGATTTTATGACTTTCCCCCTGCTCTCTCCCTCTCTATCTCTCTTCTATCTTTTTCTGCAAAGTAATGAATCCAGCCCAAGGTCTTGTGCATGCTAAGCAGGTGCTGTACTACTGAGCCACATCCCTAAACCCTATAAATTTAACCTTCTAATTCTAAAGTTATATCATTTAACACTGACCCAATGAGAGAGGATCTTACGGAGTAATTTCTAAATATCTTCTCTAATTGCTACCAATATTTGCATTTATCCCATGTGCTCTGAAATAGTTCCAAACAAGCTAGATATAATACACTAAAGCAATATAAGACTTATTTGGACATGACTGTGAAGAAAGTCAAAAAATTTGATGCTACCATGTCAAGGATAGCTACAATTAAGAGAGATTTCAGAATATAATATACATATGAATACCCACAAATTTCATAATGTATTATGTTCTCATTCCAAATTTAGCTTTCCTCTTCTCTTCAAATCTCTATGACTTCCCAAATTTTGTTTTTTGAGCCAGGGTTTTGCTCTGCTGTCCAGGCTGACCTTGAACTCAAGATTCTCCTGCCTCAGCCTCCTACTTGCTGGGATTGCAGGCATGTGCCATCGTACCTGGCTATGACCAAGAATTTTATTCCCAAGGAGCAGACATTAAGTTCTTTTTACAATTCTGGAAAATCGTAATAATGAAAATACTAATAGCAGCTACCACTTACTTATTAGAAGCAAAGTGTACATACCGGACTTTTGTGACAGGGATATGGATCTCTTTCTGCATGGTTTCATATAATTGTTTGTTCCTAGTTAAAAAATAAAAAATAAAAAAGTGACTACTTGAGAAGATAGTTATATTAATATTTCTCTATTCTGGTCTCAAAAATAAAAGCTATGATTTAACTTGGATTTTTTTCCTAAATATGCAAAATAAAATGTTAAATAAGCATACTAATTGAAGATCATCTTGTACAGTGAGGTGAACCTTTAATAATACAAACAGCCCACTACGGCACATAGGCCATAGATTCTCACCATGGGTCTAGAAAATGCCCACCTCAACAAGAAGCTCAGGTCTTTGTGTTTTTTGCTTTCATATAAAATAGCATGATTTTTATTTTACAACTGAAGTTTAATCTATTACCATCCTAATAAAATTACTTACTGAGTGGTTATTAGGATGACATAAAACCATTAAATAGAATTAATGAAATATAATCACTTATAGTCATAGAAAATTTTATTTTCAACAGCATTTCCTTATTCATATCTGCTTTTGATAATTAAACCTCATAATCTATACTTTTTCCATAACAAAGAGATCACAGGAAGTATCAAGAATAATTCTAGGGCCAGGGATTCAGCTCAGCGGTGTAAGCTCCTGCCTGGCAAGTGTGAGGTCATGAGTTCAATCCCTGGTACCAAAAAAAAAGGAATAATTCTAATTTTGTAATTTTTATAGAACTGAAAAAGAGTAATTATAATTTTCTAATTTTTATATAACAAACATTAGTATGAATTCTCCTTTATGGAAAAGGGCACAAAAGCTTTTGAAAATTTAAATTTTGAATCTTTTATGCTAAATAATTGGACTTTTTTTTCATTATTGGAGATTGAACCCAGGGCTTTTGCGCTGAGCTATATTCCCAACCCTTTATTTATTTATTTATTGTCTTTTTCCTTTTTATCGGTACCGGGGATTGAACTCACGACTGCCTGCTTACAAGGCAGGTGTTTATGCCACTGAGCTAAATCCCCAGCCCCAACCCTTGCATACACAAAGCACATATTTAACCACTGGGATGTATCTCCAGCCTTGGATACTTTAAAAAAAAAAAACATTCACACTAGTATGTTTAAATATGAAAAAAAAAATCAAAGAAATTAGCAACAACAACAAAAAACCAGAGCATATGCTATACAGTGTGGATTAAGCAAAGTATAAATTAAGTAATTTAATTACAATTGAGATGTTTTCTGTTTTGTAGCAAATTATTAAGGAAGTGACAAAGTATGAGAGGGAGGAGTTTGAGGCAGCGTTTCCCACCTGAAAGCTATAGACTCCAATATTGCTCGTACGAGATGGGCTTTACTGGTAGAAGGCTTCAAACCCATAAAAGAGGCACATGTACAGGGGTCATTTAATGGTGCCTAAAGTGAGAGACAATAAAAACACACTATAGAATTACATCCCTAGACAGAAACCCAGTCATGCAAACAGTCCAAAACATTATATTAACCATTAGGATGGCTTTTTTCTTTTTATAGTACTGCGGACTAAAACCAAGGGTGGACGCTCTACCACCAAGCTACATCTCCAGCTCTTTTTTTATTTTAATGCAAGATCTCACTAAAATGCCTGTGCTGTCCTTGAATTTATGACCCTCCTGTCTTAGCCTACTGAGTTGCTAGAATCACAGGTTTGCACCACCGTGCAAGGATAAATTTTTAATAGCATATAAACAGTTTGAGTACACTTAGGCAGACCACCTATTTAAGCTCACAACAAAAAAGGGGCCTGAAATGTGAACTAAATAATTATTAAAAGTCAAACTTCAAAAATGTAGAAAGTGGAAAAGCAACCTCAGGGATCCTTCTCTGTCGATGATACTCAGCTATAATCCCAGCACTCAGGACGCTAAGGAAGGAGGATTGCTGTGATTCTGAGGCCAGTCTAGGCTACAAAGCTAGTTCAAGGCCAGCCTGCACTACATAGCAAGACCTTGCCTTTAATAAATAAATAAATAAATAAATATCCTCCTCTGTCTTCTTTTGTTTCAGATTTTTTTGGTTTTGTTTTGTTTTAGTATTGGGGCTTGAAACCAGGCTTCCATACTGAGGTATATCTCCAGTTCTTTTTTTGAGATAGCATTGTGCTAAGTTGCTGAATTGCCTAGGCTGTGTTCAAACATGTGATCCTCCTTCAGCCTCCCAGAGTTCGTTCGTTCTCTTTCTCTCTCTCTCTCTCTCTTTCTCTCTCGATAGAGCCTTGTTATGTAGTTCAGGCTAGCCTTGAACACTTGCAATCTCCCTGCCTTGAACTTCCAAGGACTGGGATTACAGGTGTGCACCACCACACCTGATGTACAGTGTTCTTGAAAACTCTGTGTCTTCAGTTGCCAATCAACTCCCTGACCTTTAACATCTTCCAAGGAGTTCCCTCCCTTGCACTGTGATGCTCTAACCACCACCGCTGGCTAGATAATCAGCTATTGCTGCCACTGTCTATCAGAGGCGCTCAGGCTTCCACAGCAGAAATCAGGAAGGCCCTGTCCAGATGCCCATAAGCTCTCCATGCTCTCCGGATCCTAATGCTACCCATGTCTCTCTCCCCAACATTCACTTCTGGTCCCCATCAGTATCATGCAACAGGTCTCTTCCCCTCCACCATTCAGATATCCCAGTTCCACTAGACATGGCCACCACAGAACTTTCTGGCCTCATTCTTTTCTGGGAAAACTTTTCGGATCCAGAGGCTCGGTTGTCTGAAACAGCTGCCACATAACCGTCAGGGATAAGAACAACTCACTCCAAATCTGACCAACACTGGAAAGGACAAGGTGGCCCAATCAGAGCCACTTCCCCAGAAACCTGGAATAGGAAACATGACCAAAGAGACTGCGCTGGTCAGGGAGCTGAGCAGAAAGAACGTGCAAGGTGGAGGGGCGTGGTGGTGCACACCTGTAATCCCAGCACTTACGAGGCTGAGGCAAGACTGTCAGGTGTTTGAGACTAGCATGGGCTACGTAATGAGTTCAAAAACAGCTTGAACTGCATAGTGAGACCCTATCTCAAAAACAAAAAAGAAAAACACAGAAAATGGAAGTTATCAGGAAGAAAGGATACAAAGCAAAGCAAATAATACAAGGAGAAAAGCAGAGCCATGGTGAGAAGGAGAAGCACAGAAGCCCAAAACACATCACTGAGAATCACTAAATTAATCCTCTGTCTCAGCTCTTGGGCTTTTGGGAACAAGCAGCTTCTCCCAAGGGTAACTGTGGAGCCTGTTTCTTGCACGTAAAGAACCCTCAGTGAATCAGAGTTCACGCCCGCTCCAGCTGGAGCTGGACTCACCATAGTATCTACCCCTACAGCCTCATCCCAGCAACCAACAGCTGCAGGGAAACAGGGCTACTGATTCTTTCCTCCCACAGCCAATGCTGCCCCCGCCAAACCACAGCCCCAGCTCAGCACAGCCACAGTGGCTGCTCGCACAGTGCCACCTAGGGGATGGTCCTCCTTCTACTGTCCCCTGAAGAGGCTGCTCCAGACTTCCCTGGGAGCCAAGTCCCTTGACCCTCAAGAACTGCTGGACTGGGGGCGCGGCTCAGTGGAAGAGTGCTTGACTTGCATAGGTGATGCCCTGGGTTTAACCCTCAGCATGTACAAAAATAAAAGTCCTAATAGTTTGAGAGCAGTCAACATCCTAGCCTTCTCCTACTGTCCTAGCTGTGACAATACTGTGACAAGGACAGGATCGGAGACATGAGCCTCCTGTCTCCTTTACTCTAGCTGCTGACATGATCTGTCACCTGTTTCCCAATCGGCTTTGTGTCAGTGTACTACTATTTAATCAATTTTAAATTTCCAACCAACAGCTTCACCGAGTGTGGTGATATCTGCCTAGAATCCCAGTTCCTCAGAGGATCAAAAGTTCAAGATCAGCCACATTCAATAGTGCAAACCCTGCCTCCACAAGGGGGAGCTGGGTGTCCACACACGTGATCTTAGCACTGAGGAGGCTGAGGCAGGAGGACTGACATGAATTTGAGGCCAGCCTGGGTTACACAGCAAGAGCCTGTCTCAAAAAAACAAACAAAAACAATCTGTCCATGATTCTGTAAGTGCGTCAGAAAAAAGGGGGTAGATGAGGGTACCGCTCAGTACGAGAGTGCTCGCCTGACTCATGTGAGGCCTTGGGTTTGATCCTTGGGACTGCCAAAAAAAAAAAAAAAAAAAAAAGGAAGCACTTCATTTTATGCTGGAAATCACAGCAGAACAGGGACATTTACTACAATGAAATTAAAAATCCTATCTGTAAAAGTTGTTTAACTCTTTTGGACTTCACAGATACTTTTTGTTTTTCAAAACATCATATACTTTGTGTCATTTGTACAGGCCTGGAGGGAGGAGGAGTTGAAGACAGCTGTTAAGTCCCTTAGCACAGTTTTCAAAAAGAAACAGTGAGGAATGACCAGTGAAACCCTACCTTTGCAGACGACAATTGCTCATTTACCCTCTCTCCTGAAAACCCAATTACAAACTTTTCACTTTCTGTCCTGTTATAGGTGCTATTTGGGGGTTGCCTCATGTCACCCAAAAGAGGATATAATCTCTATGTATACTTCATGAGCTCCCAGTCCTTCCAGAAGAAACACACAGAAGGAAAAAGTACAAACAGTGAAACAAAGTAATAAATCTCCTTTTGAAAATATAGCACATTCACTCGCTTAATTTTTTTAACCAGCTTCTACATTATATTATCAAACTTTTAAATTTTGGACATTAACTAAGCAACTGAACATGAGATGGCTTCTAAAAAAGAAAACTTTATTTATTTAGGTTTTTGTTTCTTTGAGCAAAGTTTCACTCTGCAGTTCAGGCTGGCCTCAAACTTGTAGCAGTTCTCCTGCCTCAGCTTCCCAAGTGCCAGAATTATAGGCACGCACCATCATGCCTGATTCATGAAAACTTTATTTTTTACAGTGAAAAGTATTTAGAGAATGCTTAAAATGATAGGATAAGTTTTCTCCTAAAGTAATTTTGTTTGTAATACCTCAAAGTTTTTAAAATTCTCTGTAGCAATATTCTAAAATGTTACGCATCACAGTTCTTTCAATTAAATACAAAGTTAAATGCTACAAAATCAAGTCTTTTATGAGTTTATCTTTTGATTAGGCAAAGTAGCCACATTCTACCATAAAAATTATTAAGAAGAAATATTGATTTTTTTTTTTTTTGTTTTGCTTTTTTTGAGACAAGGTATTGCTATGTAGCCCAGGCTGGCCTTGAACTCTCTATGTAATCCAGGCTAGCCTCCAACTCATAGCAGTCTTCCTGCCTCAGCCTCCCACGGGCCCAAGGCTGGGATTCCAAGTGTGAGCCACCAATCATGGCAAAGAAAAAAAAAATTTTTTTTTTTTTTGGGTACCGGGGATTGAACTCATGACCTCATGCTTGCCAGGCAGGCACTTATGCCACTGAGCTAAATCCCCAGCCCGAAAAGAATTATTTTGTAAGTCGATTTTTTAAAAAACTTAAGGAAACCTGGAAAGACATAACATATATATTTATACAAGTATATATGTGTGTATGTAATATATAATATTATATATAATCTATATATTTATGGATATAGATCTATAGCTATAGATATAACATTATGTGTGTGTAATAGTGTGAGAGTGTGCACTACTACTTTGCTAATTCTCAGTGATATACTTTAAAGATGCCTATTTACTGATACAGTTCCCCACTGGGAAATGACTATTTCTAGTTACACTATCATAATCCCAGGTGTTACGCTGAAGTTCCACACAAACCTACCAACTGTGAGGCTCCAAAGGAACAGACTTCCAAGCAGCAGCTGGCTGAGTTCTGTAAGCACAAGCCGAGCCAGCAGTCACCAGTAGGGGCCTTTCTATTCCTAGGAAATCCACACTAGGCCACACACCTCTCAGCCCTAGGATGCACCTTTTGTTTTCACTATGTTCTGTTCCCCCCACATCCTCAAGTAACAGTATGGCAGACACATAACTTTGAACGTAGCAGGAGAAAAATGTTTGCAATTGCCGTTAACTTCTTAAGAAAATACCTGCAATCCACTAAAAGATGGAACAAAATAAACCCCTTCAGAATCTTCCAGACTTGCAGCCATTTTTTCAGTCTCAGAAGCATCTGTGAAAAGATCTGCAAAAACAAACACACAGGGGCTGGGGGTTTAGCTCAGCGGCACAAGCTCCTGCCTAGCAAGCATGAAGTCTGCCTAGCAAGCACGAAGTCTACCTAGCAAGCACAAAGTCATGAGTTCGATCTCCAGTACCAAAATAAAAAACAAACACATGAACAACAACAAAAAATCCTCAAACAGAATAAAGGGCTAGGGAGGAACTTGTGTTATACCACTAGTCTTTACCTGCGTCCCCAACCATGGTGAACATAATTAAAAGGGCACACATGCAAAAAGGGCCACGCTAGGTTCTATATGCAGCAGGCTTCATTTTTAACTTCTTTTTAAAGAACTCTAGGCTGTTTAAAGAATTAAAATTTTATTTGGTTTTGTTTTCTAAGACAGGGTTTCATTACATTGTCCAAGCTGGCCTCAAACTCTAGCAATCGTCCTGCCTCAGAAATGCACAAGTAACTGGGTATAATGGATCATGGCTATAATCCCAGCCCCTAGGAGGCTGAGGAAGGAAGATCACAAGTTCAAGGCCAACTTGGACTACCCAGTGAGTTGAAGGCCAGTTTCAAGTACACAGAGAGATCCTGTCTCAAAAACCAAAACAAAGATATAACAAATATTGCCCATCTTTATATACCCTAATTAAGTTGGCTTTATTTCACTCTATGACTAATGAGAAACACTTGGTTAAAGAAAGACAGGCCGGGCATGGTGGCACACAACTGTAATCCTAGCAATCAGGAGGCTGAAGCAGGATTGCTTTGAGTTTAAGGCCAGCTTGCACTGTATAGTGAGTTTGAGTCCAATCTGAACTGTGCGGCAAGATCTTGTCTCAAAAAAATAAAATAAAATAAAATAAAATAGTAAAAAACATGTCCACAGAGGAGAGATAAATAAAGAGGAAAAAGAAGAATCAAGATATACTCTGTATAGGTAAAACTCCCTATGAAAATCAAATTCCCTGACTATTACGTGTATTGAAAGTGTCCCCATAGGGCTAGGGGTTTAGTTCAGTGGTATAAGCGCCTGCCTGGCAAGGGCAAGGTCATGAGTTTGATCCCTGGTATCAAAAAAAAAAAAAAAAAAAGTAAAAAGTGTGCCAGTAAAATTAATTTTAGAAAACTAAATAAAATTTTAAAATCCTGTCGATTTGTATAAAAGAATTTGTGACAAAGAAACATAACATAGATTTTGTAACTGATTTGTTTTCATTCATTTATAATCAGTAGAAGACTGCCTAGATGTTGGGGCAGCTCTATGATTTCAGTCTGTAACATGTAATTCAGTACCCTAGTTTTATGATTTTTTTGTTTTTCTTTTTTATCGGTACCAGGGATCAAACTTACAATTGCAAGGCAGGCACTTATGCCACTGAGCTAAATCCTCAGCCCCTACCCTCGTTTATGTTAAGGTGTTAGGATTTTCTGATAAAAATTATTTCCTGCCTCCCAACCTACCTGTGCTGCTCTTACTGACTACTGGATCTTAAACTCCCTTTGCAATCTGAGGAAGGTATTGCAGTTAGAACCATATACTGATGATCAAAGTCTCTGGCAGCAATAAAAAGTTGTCCTTAAAAAAATCGTATGTGAGTTTTTTAATCAAGATAAAACGTGGCACACCTGTAATCCCAGCACTTGGAGGCTGAGGTAGAAGGATCATTGTGAGTTCAAGACCAGCCTAGACTATAAAATGTCTCAAAAAGACAAAAAAAGAGAGATCTAGCTTTGTTTTCATTCTTGCTTCTAGTGTCACCTGCTTGAAGAACTTTCTAAATAACCTTCCACCTGAACTCTTCTCATTGGGCCCACAGCCGAGAGCTTCCAGGAGGAGCACACCCTGCTCTGCATCGCCCACTGACTACAGCGAAGGATTTCCACACAGTGCTGGGCGAAGCTACTGGCGGGCTCTGACAAGTAAGCTGGCAGGCAAGCGGGAGGACACCAACTGGAGGTCAGCTTCTCATTTTATTTTCTGTGCTATCTCCTGGCCTAGCCTCAGGGACAACCTGAAAACCAAAATCCAGACTTACACTGGACATAAACACAAAGAGCTTCAAGAAAAGGTCATTCCTCCTAATGTGAATTAAGAGTTTCTACAGGACTGAGTAAGGGAACCCCAGGTGTTCCTTTCAGATACTTTTTTCTTCCTCCCAGTGTCAGAGTTCCCAGGCTATCCCAAGGCAGCAGGAACACAATTTCACATAGACACAGGGGCAGGCCTAGAGCACTGAGCTCAATGCCCCTGATCCCAGCTACCCCGGAGCTATGAGTTTGAGACCAGCCTAGGAACACAGCAAGAATATGTTACAAAAAAAAGAAAAGTGTAAACTGCGAGTGGTGGCACACATCTATAATCCCAGCACTCTGTAGGTTGAGTAGGAAGATCATTGTGAGTTCAAGACAAGCTTGAGCTACAAAGTTAGCTCAAGGTCAGCCTGAACTGCATAGTGAGATCCTGTCTCAAAAAAAAAAAAAAGTGTAAGGGGAACCTCTGCTCATTTCTCTTCCGTCTTCCCTCAGTGTCTCCTGTCTTAGGCTCCAGGCTGACAACAGACGGGAGCAGATGCAACCAAAATTTGAGGCAAGGGCACTGAGGAGACTGCTGTGGCTTCCCACCTTCTTTCCTTCCTCCTCCATCTTCTTCCTCTTCTCTCAACTCTCTTGCTGCTTAGGTTAAGAGGTAAAAGCAGTAAGACAAAGTGTTCAGTACAGGAGGGAGACAAAAATCCACCTTTTGGTCAGCACACCACAATGTGACTCTTTGAGGTCAGAATTACCAAGGAGATCACTGAGAAAAAGGGACTGAGAAAAGTACCTCAGAAGAATTTTATGAATCCCTAAACTAGGCATGATAATGCACACCTGTACTTCCAGCACTCAGGAGGCTGAGGCAGGAGGACTGCATGAGTTCAAGGCCAGACTGGGCTACACAGTGAGTTCAAAGCTAACCTATACCACACAGTTGAGACCCTGTCTCTAAAAAGAAAGAGAAAAAAAAAAAAAAAAAAAGAGAGAGAGAGAACAACTGGCCTCAATCCTGAGCAGCACATAATTCAGATCTGACTGTAAACAACAAACTAAAAGTGCTGAGAACTGATCTCTGAGCAGGGGACACAGCTGCCCAGTCTGGCCACTGGGCAATGCAAATGAAAAGCAGAAAGATCCAAATAGCAGAGCTTTGAAAACTGAACAGATGTTGGAACTATAGGCCAAAAAGAGCAGCTGGGAACTTAAGATCTCAGCACACTAAATTTATTGCCTATGAAAATATTTTTTAAAAATTATCCATAGAGGGGCTGGGATTTAGCTCAGCAGCATGAGCACCTGCCTTGCAAGCAGGCAGTCGTGAGTTTGATCCCTGGTACCAATTAAAAAAAAATTACCCATAGAATTTAAACAAAACTGAGAGTTTAATAATATTCAACTTCTGAAAACAAGAAAAAAGATGAAGGACAGATGAAGGACAAAGTACCATCTACCATCCCATCACCCAAACTACCATCATCCTCATATCTCGGATCAAACCCAGGGCCTTCACGCTGAGCTACATCCCTTTCCTTTTAAGACAGGGTCCTGATAAGTTATCAAATTTCCTGGAATGGCCTTACACTTCTCATCCTTCTGCCTCAACCCTGCATGTGCTGGGATTACAGGTATGCACCACCACGTCCAGCTCTGGGTATTTACTCGAATCCCTGGGTTAGGAATGTAGCTCAGTGGTAGAATACATACCTAGCATGCATAAAGCCCTGCACTGCAAAAAGAAAAGAAATTATGAGCCAGGGATTTAGCTCAGTGGCATAAGTATCTGCCTGGCAACTGCGAGGTTGTAAGAGCCCGGTATCAAAAAAAAAAAAAAAAAAAAAAAAAAAGGAAGGAAAATAAATTATAAGATACACCCAGCAATATGAAAATACATATGCATTGTATCATCACTTGTATTTTCAAAAAACTGCAAACTAAATGCCCAAATATAGGAAACTGACTGGCTTAACTATGTATCCATAACAAAATACAGTATTATATAAATGTGTGCAAAGAATGAAGACGACCTCTATGAATTGATGCAAAACAATTCCTAGAATGCAATATAAGTGGAAAAAAAGCAAAGTACAAAAAAAAATTCGTGGCATATTACTTTTGTGTAAGAAAGAAGGGGAGGGGCTGGGGATTTAGCTCTGTGGCATAAGTACCTGCCTTGCAAACGCATGGCCGTGAGTTCGATCCCCAGTACCAAAAACCAAAAAAGAAAGAAAGAAAGAAGGGGAAATGTATGTACATATTCCTGTTTTTACAAAAAGAAACACACAAGACAAAAAGCAAAGTGGTCATTTGCAAAAGCCAGCGAGGCAAGCAAAGGAGAAGGAAGGGAGCCAGCTTCTCTGAGTATAACTTCTATGATTCTGGCTTTGGGAATCATGTTCATGTCCCACATTTAAAAAGTAAAACAGTAAGTTTTAAAGAGTGGACGGTAGCATGAAATAAAATTGAATACAGTAGCAGGAATAAATTAAATCAATTCTATTTTAAATCAGTAAAATTACTAAAAGGCAGAAGGTAAATTTATCCAGGTAAGATTATAACAATATAGACTGACCCCGTGTCTTTGATACAAATCCTTGAGAACACAAGGCTTCATTCATGCTGGGCTCCACAGCAGGCCCTACTTATCTCACAGTGTCACCCAGGCAGCAGACAGACAGGAAGGCACCACCCTGAACTCAGACCACAACTTCTCTGAGCCCACTCCCTGCACCCAACATGCACCCCGCCATGGTGCTCAGGGCCCGCTGCTGCTCCAGAGGATGCCTCCTTGCCTCCTCTCAGGTGGGAGACTTCATCTCTCAGGAAGGGATCCAGAGAGAAAGAGTCAGTTTCTTTTATTCTGAGTTAACAAGAGCTGTGGGTAATGTTAAACATGTTCTTAGGAAGAAGTCCTGTGAGGATTCGCCGAGCAGGCAGGGGTGGCGTGTGGCAATTAAAATTTCTACTGCTAAGGAAAAGATGTCCCCTGACCCATGTTATCAGAGGACAGCAGAGAGGCAAACTGTCTCAACTGCAGAAAAAGACACAAAGCATCCTTCCAGCCCCTCCAACAGATCAGGATTCTCCCTGCCTGGACCTGCCGTACTGCTCAGCTCTGCTCGGACCACTCTGGCCAAATGCCCTCACCACCTGGCCATCACTCATTCTTTCTTCAGTGTTAGCTAAAACAACATGTCTTCACGGAAGCCTTCGGATTCTCTAGACTGGACCTGACACTAAACACACGCGCGCGCGCACACACACACACACACACACACACACACACACACACACAGATGGGTTCTCTTTATATTGCCAGCTAGGACCACAGGAGTGCTCCACTACTCACAGCTTCCATGTTTTTAAACACTGTCGGTGTTAATGCATATCTTCCTTGCTAGCCTGTAGAACACTGTGGCAGGCAGCACCACTCCCAGACTATAATTTTTACCAATAAAATCACTTTTTTCTTTAACCAAATAAACTCATTTCGAATAGGCAAAGTATAAAGTCTCAACCTGCACAATAAGGTACCTATGAGCAATAATAATTACTAATACCTTGGTATTAATACTTTGGTATACAATACTTCACATGAAATATGGATTCATGGTTTTTATAAAACCATCAAATACGGTTTTATAATATATGGGCTGTTTGTTAGCATAAGAACCAAGAAAGCAGAAATAGCCTAAATGTTCACCAACTGATAAATTATGACATTCATATAATGAATTATTTAGTAGAAAAAATAAAGTACTACTATATGCTGCAATCCATGTAAACCTTGAAAACATTATGCTGAAGAAAAACTTCAGTTACAAAAGATCACGTATCTATAACCTCAGCTCTCTGGAAGGCTGTGGCAAGAGGACTGCAAATTTAAGCCCAGCTCTGGCAGCTGACTGACTTAGCAAGACTCTCTCTCAAATCAATCAATTAATCAATCAATCATGTATCAGCTTGACTATTAATATAAAATAGCCAGAATAAGCAAATACATAGAAACAGAAAGTAGACTAATAATGATAACACAGGAGTAGGGACAAGAAAAGGAACAGAGGAAAAAGGGGAACCAGTGTTAATGGGTACGGTGCCTTTATTATTATTTTTTATTATTTGGTGTTTTGAGACAGTATCTTTCTTATAGTCCACGCTGGCTTAAACTTTTATTTATTTATTTTTTGGTACTGAGGATCGAATTCAGGACCTCGCACTTGCCAGGCAGGCGCAGTGTCACTGAGCTATACCCGTGGCCCTGGCCTCAAATTTTAATCTTCCTGCCTCAGCCTCCCAAGTACTGGCATTACAGGTCTGTGCCACCATGCTGAGCAAGGATGTCTCTCTGAGAGGAAATAAAAATACTGTAAAATTACCATGATATTTTGTAAACCTCATGCATATTCTAAAAAACAATGAATTGTGTACTTTTGGGGAATTGTATGGTACATAGATTATATCTCAATAAAGCAATTAAGGAAAAATAAAAAATATTATGCAGGCTATCCTTTAAGTGGTTTATATCCCTTCTTAATGTGTGGTGCAGTTATCAGTGAGATGTGCAGCTACATGGTTATTTGTGACTGTAAAACATTCCACTACATTGATACACTGACATTTACCTAGTGGTTTGTTATTAAACCAAATTTATTTCTAATTGTTATATTAAACACCTATGGCTCTACACAGCTTGTTACACTTCCATGATTTTTACACTAAATATACACAAGTGTTCATTTTCTAGGGAATAAAGAGAAACAGCTTATACCCTAACACTGGGCTGGCACAGAGCTCAAGGGCAGAGAACTTGTGTAACATGCACAATGCCCAGATGCAGCCCCACATGGAAAAAGAAGACACATCCTGTCCGGCTGCTAATTAATACTTAGCAGAAAAGAGGACTACGTCTTTCTCTACATTTCCACCAATGCTAGTATCATCAAACTTATTAATCTCTCAAAACAGAGTAAAATAAATGAGGATTGATAAGTGTGCATTACTTTGCTTACTGAATGTGAACACCATGTTGTAATAGTCATTTTTATTAAGAAATCCCTATATGTCTTTTTTTCAGTTTATTAATATCTCTGACATACAAGTTGTTTTTATCAATTTGTCTAATTTTAGTTATATATCTCTTCCTATATATTCTAATATTTTATATACTTAACTCTATTATTCTTCTCAGAATAAATGTTTTTCATAGAAAAAAAGGAAAAAAAAATCTATTATTCTTTTTCTTTTCTTTCTTTTTTTTTTTTTTTTTTTTTTTTTTTTTTTTTTTTTTGGTACCAGGAATTGAACTCAGAACCTTGTGCTTGCTAGGCAGGCACTGTGCTGCTAAGCTATACCCCTAGCCCTATTCTTTTTCTTTATGGTTCCTGGTCTTAATACCTAGTTTTTTACCACCCCAATATCATGAAAACATGGTATTTTCTTCTGCTCTGAGGTATTTTATTTGGGCAATCCATTCATTGACTACTTACTGATCTATAGTCATGTGGCAGACTTGAATTTTTTAAAGTATGGCCTATGAAATTCACTGACAAGAAGACTTACCTAATTGTTGAGCCCACTGTATGGCAGTCCCCGTGTCTCCTGCATTGCTTTCTGCTAGACATACGACTTCTTGCCCAATCTTCCACCCAATTAATGGATAAAAGCCTTATAAAGCAAAAGAGCAAACAAGTAACATAAATCATAAAATAGCTGTACAATTCAGGCTATCATAATCTTTCACAATATGTACTTTTATCTTTGTTCCTTTTTTCTTATTTACTCAGCTCTGAAGAACCAGTTTCTTTCTGTTTTATTTTTTGCTTTCTTAAATAAACTTCGGGGCTGGGGATTTAGCTCAGCGGCATAAGTGCCTGCCTTGCAAGCAGGCAGTCATGAGTTCGATCCCTGGTACTGATAAAAACGAAAAAGACAAAAAAGAAAATGAAATAAATAAATAAATAAATAAATAAACTTCACCACAGCTTAAATAAACAATTCAGACAACTCTAACGGAACGGTTTGATTATATACAAAATGGAGAAGTTCCTATAAGTCAGACTGCCTGAACTCCATTCCTAGCCCCCTCAGATTTACCAGTTGTGATTTAACTAGTTAGCAGTTTTGACCTTAGTTTCTTCAACTATCAAATGGTCCACCTACCTTAGACAGCTGCTGTAGGAATGGATTGGGTTAATATATAAAAAGGATTTAAACTAGTACCTAGCATAAAATATGAACAATAAACAGTAGTTTGGTGGAGGGGGCCTTTGGGATTGCACAGTGGACAAATGCTCTGCCACTGTGCTACATCACCAGTACTTGAATATTAGTTTTTATTAGCTATAGACAAGTCTAGAATCGTAACAGTAAATACCAACCAGAAGTATAGTTTACTATGAGACTGGTATGCTCTAGAGAACTAACCATGCTGACTTATAGTTGATGGGGGAATAGACCGGAGAAAAAGATTTTAAAAACGACTCTGAGTAACCATCTGAGGAGGCCAGCACCCACAGTAGGAATCCCCAGCCTCTAGAGCACAACGCCACACACTAGATCTCTTAGTTTGTACTCTGCCAGGTTTCTTCCATTTGGGAGACTGAATTTTTAGCAACTGTCTAGAAATCTTAAATATGCATGGACCTAATATTAGTTAACAACTAATATTCAAGAACGGTTCATAGAAAGAATAATAATTTCCTGCCAGTGTGGTGGTACACTGTGGGAAGCAACTCCAGTGACTCCCTTTGAATCCAAAGCAATTGCTGTGATTTTGATTACTTGGAGCCTCACTTCCTTATACTGATATGTGAAAGGCTGGCTAGGGTATTTCCTTCTCTCTTCAATTGACTCTAAGCATTGCAAATAAGGCTAGCCTAGGTGTTAATGTGCAAAGTCTATAGCCATCAGACAGTCCTGTTTCCTTGCATGGTGCTCTCCATGATATAGGATTGAGCTGGCGAGATGTAGAGTAATTTGCTCTGGGAATGTCAACTGGGTATGAGCCTCAAGATAAAAGGCTATGACTCCCCAGGGCACAAGAGTTCCCCCAAAACAATTCTACTGTGATCTTAATCAGGTTATATAAATTGATCCTTCTGCTTATCTTTATCTCTGCAAATTACAGAGATGCCATCCTTGCACCTGGCCAGCTAGCTCAAGTTACTCAGTAATCCCTGACATCCTGACTATCACTCATCCCCGTGCGAATCCCCCCACTTTTTTCACAAGAGAATACATGCTGGGAGAGGCCTAGGATCGAGGCCTTTTGTCTACATGTCCTCACAGGAAATGGATTTAGGACCTCTTGGCTGCCCTTAACTTGGACTATGTCTTGGTGTCTTTACTCTCGATGTGGGTTGCATTGGTGGTGGTAGATTGGGATTGCGATAACATCTCATTGGGATTACAAATATAACTTTTTGGATTGTGAGGAAAGCTAGAAAGAAGATTACAATACTTGGGTGACTGAACTTGATATTTGGGTTTACAATAATGCAAGCCTATAATCTCAGCACTCAAGAGGCTGGGAAAGGAGAATCACTGAGTTGGAGGCCATCTTGGGCTCCATAGTGAGTGCAAGGTCAACCTGCACTGCACAGTGATACCCAGTCTCTTAAAAAAAAAAAAAAAAAGAAGAAAAGAAAAGAAAACAAAAGAGATAATTTATCAAAACACAAAAACTTAGGTGTCACAATGCAGCGCCATGATAGACCGCTTGCTTAGCACGTACAAGGACCTAGATTTGATCCACAATTCTCCCAAAAAGAAAATTAGAGCCTCGATAAGAAATTTTAAATGAATAAAACCTGTAGAAAGATGAAATATTTAGAGAACTGTCCAAAATACCCTAGTCCTTCTGGTTTTTTCTGCAGTATCTTTTTTGTTTTTTTAATGCTATTAATGTAAAGGGAAAAAAACAGACCTTGTCTCTAATAATAATAATAACCATAACCTCGATGTGTTACACAATATCCCTAACATAAAATGGGAAAATAGGATAAATAACACAACACAAATATACATGGAAAAAGTGATAAAATAGGATAATTCCAAGTATTTACCTGAACTGTTAAATGAAGCACAGCTGCCAATATTTATATCCAAAAAGGTCCCAGTCCCCATGGTTAGTTTGACATCTCCAGGCTGGAAACAGCATTCTCCAAACATCGCAGACTGCTGATCGCCAACCTGGCGAGCACACAAAGCATCACAGTAGCCCCGTGCTCATTTCACATTACCGCACTGCCTCATCTACTGTAATGGTTTTTTATTTTTGGTTTTTTTTTTTTTTTGGTCCTGAGGATCCAACTCACAACCTCATGCTTTCCAGGCAAGCACTTCAACAGGGAGCTAAATCCCCAGCCCACTGTTATCTTTTTTGCTTTCTCTCTCTCTTTTTATTTCTTCTCAGTACTGGGGACTGAATTCACAGCCTTTCCCCTGAGCACTAGCCCTGGTCTTTAAAAAAAACTTTTTTCATTTTGGTTTATTTTGTTTTGTTGTGTTTGAAACAGGGTCTTGCAAATTGCCTAGGCTGGTGTGAAGTTTTGATACTCCTCCTTCTGTCCTCAAAGTGCTGGAATTACAGGTGGATCCCATCCATCCTGGATTTGTACTTTTTTAATTAAAAGTAATATTTTCTCTTTTATCTTTTTCTCAAATACAAAAAAAAAAAAAAAAAATTCCCAAAGAGAATGGGGAACAACATTAGAAGTCTCCTAGGCCCAACATTGTATGGGAAACTAATGTGCCTTGGGACTTTTTAATGAGTAACCTACTTCATGACTTCCCCCTCCCCGCCACCTATCAGCAATTGAACTTCAGACCTTGTGCTTCCTAGGTGAGTGCTGTGCCACTGAGCTATACCCCCTGCCCCATACTTCACAACTTTTAAGTATCATATAAAAAATTTTAGAAATAAACATTAGAAGAATAATTGTATAGAAAAAAACTAAGGTTTTTTTTTTTTTGTCTTTTTGAGATAGTGTTTCAATATGCAGTTCAGGCTGTTTTGAACTGACTTTGTAGCTCAGGTTGGCCTCGAACTCACAGTGATCATCCTATCTCAGCCTCCTGAGTGCTGGGATTGTGTTTAACTTATAGAGGTTTTATTCATTAGTCAAAATAACACCTCACAAGATTTTCTTTTATTGAAACCAAAAGGCCACTCATGGTGATGCATGACTGTAATCCCAGTTCTTAGGAGACTAAGGAAGGAGAATTGCAGCTATTAAGCCTGGACAACATAGTGAATCTAATACCAACCTGCATAGTGAGACCTTGTCTTTAAAAAAAAAGGCCCAGGCAGGAGGATCACAAGTTCAAGGCCAGCCCGAGCAATTCTGAGACCTTATCTTCAAATAAATATTTTAAAAGGGTTGGGGATGTAGCTCAGTGGTAAAGTACTTGCCTGGTTTGTATGAGAACCTAGATTTAATCCCCAGTGCCACACACAAAACAAGCAATAGGTATGTTTAAATAGAAACTGCTATTAAGTCAAAGCTCTCCCTTTCTTCATCATATATTTTTGTAAAGATAAAAACTATAAAATTTTGTTAATATACTTAAATATGGATATATATACAACACTTTTTTTTTTATTAGGGTATGGGGTTTTAACCTAGGGCCTCACACACACAAAGCAAGTGCTCTGAGCTACACCCTAGCCTTTTTAAAAATACAATGCCAGCCGGGCATTTAGCTCAGTGGTATAAGTGCCTGCCTGGCAAGAGCAAGGCCATAAATTCAATCCCAGATACCAAAAAAATTAATTAATTAATTAATATTAAAATAAAAAAAAATAGATCACCAAGGCTGGCCTCAAACTTCTGGGCTTAGTGATCTCCCTATCTCAGATTCTAGTGAGCTAGTACTACATATGGGTATATACCACTATACTTGTTTTTTTTTTTTTTTTTTAAATCGGATCACACTCACGACTGCACGCTTGCAAGGCAGGCGCTTATGCTGTTGAGCTAAATCCCCAGCCCCTATACCTGGTTTTAAAGACAAATTCACAATGATTTGGGGACGATAATGCACAATGTATCACTGCTGCCCCAACTGACATGTTTTGAAATTTTGTTGTAGTTTTTTCTTGTTTTTTTCTTTTTATTTTTGAAAAAAAATGGGTTAAGCTGGGCATGGTGGCGCATGCGTATAATTCCAGCACTCAGGAGGTTGAGACAAGAGGACTGTTGCGAGTTCGAGACCAGCCTAAACTACAAAGCGAGTTCAAGACCAGCCCGAACTCCATAGAGACCCTGTCTCAAAAAGACAATAAAATAAGTAAATAAATAAAATGGATTTAAAAAAAGGCAAATTCATCTGAGAGTGGGAGATGTGGCTCAGGGATGGCGCTAGCCTAATGTGTGGGATCTTGGATTTCATCCCCAGGGCCACAAAAACAAACAAATCAATTCATCTAAAGAACCCTTGTTCACTAGCCTACAACTCTCTTCACCATACTTCAATCTGATCCTGAACCTCCCCTCAGCTGAATGAAACCAACTCTGTAAACGACTGTGTAGCTGTAACATGGAACCAAGCTCCCTCCCCTCACCAGTTTCCCAGCTACTGTGGAGACCACTCATCTAGACACAAATGCTGTCTACCTCCTGCTTATGCTGCTGCAGGAAATAATAGCAGTACTTGAGTTGCTAACATTAAAGACAATCCTCAGCACTGCAACAGAGAAAGGAGAAAGATGACAAAATAAATATTTGAATTTCTATGGAATTTATTAATCGCATGGCAAATCCTGGGGTGTTTCTAACTTCTGACTCTCTCATTTATACAGTCAGAAAAAAAGCAAGAGTACAATAATTAATGGATCTTTAAAAGTATTAAAAAAAAAAAAAAGCCAGGCAGGGTGGTGCATGCCTATAACCCTAGGACTCAGGAGGCTAAGATATAGCAGTTTAAGCCCAACCTGAACTACACAGCAAGATCCCGTCTAGAAAGAGAGATGGTGGAACATGTCTGTAATCCTAGCACATTAGAGGCTGAGGTAGGAGAATCACCATGAGTTCAAGGTCAGCCTGGGTTATATAAGCAAGTTCAAGGTCAGCCTGTACTACAGAGTGAGACTGTCTCAAAAGGGTTGGGGGAGGAGAAGGGAAAAGAGAAGAGATTAAAGAAGGAAACAAGCAATTTTTTACTTTTACACCAGCTTTTGTACATGTAGATGCTTGATATTCATTTTATTTTTATTTATTTATTTATTTAGTTGCCAGGCATTGAACTCTTGACCTTGTGATTGCCAGGCAGGCATTTATGCTTCTGAGCTTAGTCTCCGACTTGATACAGGTTTTAGAAAATGTAAATGCAATTTACTCTTCTAGCTTAAACTGCTTTATTACTGTTTGTGGTTATATTGTTATTGAATATAAACTAATCATTGGTTCTATCACTTGGAGTCATATATTTGTCTCAAAATTTCAAAATATAAACCAAACATTACAATCTGAATACATTATCTGTTTAAAAATAAATTTTCTCCTTGAAGTAAAATGTATTTGGGGGGGGAGAAAAAAATTTAAAAATAAAAACAAAAACAAAATTCTCTGGGCATGGTGTCGCAAATCTGTAATTCTACCTAGTTGAGTCAATGATCTCAAGTTTGAGGTTAGCCTGGGCAACTTAATAAAACCTTGCCTCAAAATAAAAACTAAAATGGACTGGGGTGTGACAATTAATGTTAAAGCCACTGCCTAGTATGCACAAGGCTGTGAGTTCATCCTCAGTAATGATGCAAAGTCAAACCAAACCGCAACAGTGGTCCCCCTTTCAGAAGGTGAAGGAGGAGCTGGGGACTTAGTTCAGCGGCATAAGTGCCTGCCTTGCAAGCAGGCAGTCGTGAGTTCGATCCCTGATACCAATAAAAACAAAAAAGACAAAAAAAAAAAAAAAAAAAAAGGCGGCGAAGGATACTTCTGATTATATCTAGGACCACTCAAAAAGACAAGCTAGCTGGGTGAGGTGGTAAAAGCCTGTAATTCCAGCTGGAAGAAGGATCACCATGAGTTTGAGGCCAGCCTGGGCTACACACAGAGTTGAAGGCCAGCCTGAACTACACAGCAAGACTTGGTCTCAAAACAAATGTATACATCAATATGTATCTATAAAGTGGTACCTCGGTTGATAAATGCTTTTGTTTGCAAACATTTAGCAACAAACAGAAGTGTTTGGCAAAATTTTGTTTTTGTTTGCAAACTCTACATCAAGTGACAAACATGACTGCCACCATCTTTCCTACACAGACACAAATGTACGCATCTTTTCTAAAGACCTGTTCCAAACATCTGTTCCAGAGTAGAACAAATTAAGTGAACCAAGGCACCACTGTATACATAGCTATGTATCTACATAAAGATATTTTATATTTATTTATACATATGCATATATATACACATATCCAGTTGTATGTATGTATGTATTTGTATATGTATATATTTCCCCCTTTCTGTGCTGGGGGTCTATCTCAGGCCTGTGTACATGCTGGGGAAGTGACCTCCACTGAACTCCACCCTGGCCCTAATACTTTAGTTTATCAAGGGCCTTTAGTGTCTCTTAAAGCTAGTCACAACTATTCATATATATACATTTAGTTTATAATATACCAAGAGAAATGCTTGTGTTTTCTACTTACCAAGGCAACTACTGGTATAGGCACACCAAATATCTCCTCATCCACTGATCCAAAATGATGGCTTCAAATGAAATTAATCAAAATATTAGTTATACTCTAGAAACATTAATTCCAAAATTCAGCAAATTTTTTTAATTCAGCAAATTTTTAAAGCATGGGCTAAAAAAGTTATATAATGAACATACAAGCATCTCAAGCATATGATAACACTATTTTCCTCATCAAAGCAAAAGAATTCAAGTAAGACTTTGCTGATTTTTTTTTTTTTTTTTTTTTTGTCTTTTTGCTTTTTATCGGTACCAGGGATCGAACTCACGACTGCCTGCTTGCAAGGCAGGTGCTTATGCCACTGAGCTAAATCCCCAGCCCCTTACTTCCTCCTGACTTTGCTGATTTGTACATGGGTATTCACTGTTACCTTGTGTCCTTTATGGGAGGCAAGACAGAAAGTGGTATGGAAGCCAAGAAGGTAAGGAAACCACTCCAGCACATCTACCATAAAAACACATCATCAGAATATACAAGTAAAGTAGTAAAAACAAAAGAATTCAAGTTAAATGAAAATACGGCAATTTCAAAAGAAGATAATGTCTTTACCTTATACGTATCAAAAAGTCCAGTTGCACTGGCATTTGAAAAATCTGTAGCATATGCAGAGCCTAAATTTATGTTGGAAATAACATATTTATTATTGAGCAATATAAATCAATATCTACCTCGTTTGCAATCTAGACCTTTGTCTATCCTCAAATTCATTCCAAAATGTGCATTTGCAACTTGAAATCTCCAGAGCAATTTCCCACTTAATTTTTATAAAGTTTTATAGTTTACAAAAGCATTTCTTTTTTTTCCTTTTTTTTTTTTTTTTTTGTCTTTTTCCTTTTAATCGGTACCAGCGATCAAACTCACGACTGCCTGCTTGCAAGGCAGGCACTTATGCTGCTGAGCTAAATCCCCAGCCCCTACAAAAGCATTTTCAAAGGCTTTGTGACTTTCTGGTCTCTAAAGAAGATGAAAAACAGCCAGGCATGGTGGCACATACCTGTAATCCCAGCACTTGGGATTCAATGGGAGGAGAATCACTGTGAGTTTAAGGCCAGCCTGGACTCCATAGTCAGTTCAAGGCCAGCCTGAACTAAATAGTAAGACCCTGTCTCAAAAACAAACAAACAAAAAATACCACTAGGAAAAACATTCAGAGATGCTAAGTGGGATCCTTCATACTTATATCCACTTACAACATGTACTACTAAACCATGTTTTACCGCTCCCGAAAAAAAGTTATCCTTTTTTGTTGTTTGTTTGTTTCTTTTTGAGGCAAGGTCTTGCCAAGTAGTCCAAGACCAGTCTTGATCTTGATTATGTAGCTAAGGGTGACCTTGAGCTCATGGTGATCCTCCTGCCTCAGCCTCCTGAGTGCTAAAACTAGATGCATTATGCATTCTTACATTTGAGACTTTTTCACAATTTGTTGTTGCTGGTTTGAGACAGGCTTTCACTATGTAGTTCAGGCTAGTCGTGAACTCACTACATAGCCCTGGTTAGCCTCAATTGCAGTGATCCTCCTGCCTTAGCTTCCCAAGTCCTAGATTATAGGTGTGCCCCACTACACCTGGCCTTCATCACAACAGTTCCTTACAACAGATCTAAAGTAACTCTAGTATTACTGCAACATGCAGTTATGTGGCATCAAAAAACACTATAGCAAGCAAAAATGGGTATGTCTGAGCAGGGATGAACTTTCATTCTCTTTAGACAATTCCTTTCTTTCCAATTTCACTTATTTGAGACAGAACTATCAGGTCACATTTACCTTTTGTGAGTTTATGTAACAACCAGGTATCAACAGTCCCAAAGCAACAATTTTCTTCTTCAACTGCCTTTTGTACCTTAAAAATATAACACAAAGACAGTTCAAAATGGCTAAAGTGCATGATTAACTAAAGCATATGCAACATAATCTCTTATAAAGTTAATGTTTATATGTATTATATAGGATGCCTTTCTTCCACATATTTGGGTCTTCATTAATTATATTCAACAATGTTTTGTAGTTTTCTTTTTTTGTTTTTGGTATCGGGGAACAAACTCACGACTTATGCTTGCCAGGCAGGCCTTTATGCCACTGAGCTAAATCCCTGGCCTTGTCTTTTTTTGTATTTTTTGAGACAGAGTCTTGTAATGCAGCCCAGGCTGGCCTTAAACTCACTATGCAGTGCAGGGGGCTTTGAAGTCCTGGTGACCCTGCTGCCTCAGTCTCCCAAGTGCCTGGCCTTACAGTTCAAAATGTAAATTTTGCAGTTTTTCTGTTAAGCTGAATTCCTACTACCTCGGTCTTTTTCATGCTATTATAAATAGGATTGTTTACTTAATTGCAGTGAATTTCTAGTCATTATTAGTGTTTATAAATACAATTGACTTTTGTGCATTGATCATATATATGAACCTTGCTGAATTCATTTACTATTTCTAACCATTTTTTAGGTGACTTCTTAAATTTTTCTATGTAGGAGACTGTGTTTCTGCATCACAGAGATAGTTTTACATCTTCCTTCTCAATCTAGTTGCTTTCATCTCACAGTCTTGACTAACTGCTCTGGTCTAGAGTCTCCAACATACTGCTCACTAGTTGAGGTGTAGAGGTAAGAAGAGACCACCTGCTGTTCCTGCACTTACAGGGAAAGCATTGGGCCTATCGTCATGAAGTATGGTGCTTGCTGCCAAGGTTTTTGTTTTCTTTTGGAATCCTGGAGATTGCACCTAGGGCCTTTGCACTGAGCTACATCTCTGGCCATTTTTTGTATCATTTTGTTTAAGACAGGGTCTTGCTAAACTGCTAAATTGCACAGGCTGATTTAAACTCACGATCCTCCTGCCTCAATTTCCTAGAGGGTTGGGACTGTAAATGTGCACCATCATACCCATCTACTGTGTGTTTTCCATGGGTCAGTCATAGTTCAGGTTAAAGAAATTTCCTTTAATTCCTATTTTGTTGAGTTTTTATTATCCACAGGTATCAGATAGTATAAAATGAGTTTTCCACATCTCCTAACATGCTCAACTTTTGATTCTGTTATTTTCCTAGTCTGTTTCACTGATTTCTCATCTTTTTTTCCTTTCCTTGTGCTTACCCTGCTCATATTTTTCTAGTATCTGAAGATGGCATGTTAGATTATTGACTTTTCTTCTTTTTAAATATAGTCTTCTTATGTAAAAACAGTCTGGCTTGCCAGGTGTGGTGGTGCACACCTGTAATTCCAGCACACAAGAGGTTGATGCAAGAGGATCACCACGAGTTCAAGGCCAACCAGACTACATTGTGAATTCAAGGGCAGCCTGAACTACAGAGCAAGACCCTGTCTCAAAAAAGAGATTGATAGAGGGATACATAGATAGTCTGGCTATAAATTTCCCTCTAAAAACTGATTTGTGTGTATAGTTTTGGTGTGTTGTCTTTAATTCATTTCAAAGTATTTCCTAATTTATGCTGTAAATTCTCTTGGATCCACCAGTTGCTTATTTATTGTTTGTTTGTTTGTTTTTTAGTTCTGAGGCTCAACTCAGGCTCCTGAGCACACAGGTAAGCATGCTACCACTGAGCTACATTCCCAACACTGGCAACTTAAGGGTGTGGCAATCTGCATGTATTTTTGAACTTTCCAAATTTTCTCCTGGCAGTGATGCATGCCTAAATTCCCAGCACTCAGAAGGCTGAGGCAGCAGGATTGCTAAGAGTTCAAGGCCAGCCTGGGCTATATAGTGAGCTCAAAGCCAGCCGGAACTACATAGTGAAAATCTATTTCAAGAAAATAACCAAACAAACAAACCAAAACAACGGCAAAAACAAACAAGTTTTCTTCTGATACTTACTTCTAATTTCATTCTATTATAGTCAGAGAACACATCTGTGATTTTAACCCTTTCAGTTTCAGCAAGGCTTATTCATGACCTAACACGTGGTTACTTAGAATATGAACATGTTACTTAGGGATACTCATATTCTTATACTTAGGGATACTTAGGGAAATGCATATTCTTGTTCAGGGGTGGAGTTTTCTACAAATATATTAGATCTGGTTAGTTTTTATTGTTATCAAAATGTTCTATTTCTTTGAAGATCTTCTCTCTGGTTATTTTATCCATAATTGAAAGAGCACTGAGGTCTTCAACTATTACCATGCAACTGTCAATTTTCCCCTTTAATTTTGTCAGGATTTGTTTATTTCATGTGGCTATTTGTTTGTTTGCTTTTTGAGCAGGGTCTCACTATGTACCCAGATTGGCCTCAAACTCACAATGATCCTCCTGCCTCAGTCTCCTGAGTGCTGGGATAACGGGTACAACACCACTCTCGGCTGTTTCATGTGTTTTCTAGCTCTGTTACTAGATATATTATTTATGACAGATTTATCTTTTTATCATTATAAAATTTCCTCTTTACAGCTCGTAATTTTTTTCTTTAAAAAAAAAATTTTGGGGCAGGGATTTAGCTCAGTGGCATAAGCACCTGTCTGGCAAGTGCAAGGTTGTGAGTTTGATCCCCGGTACCAAAAAATTAAAATAAAACAAAGCCTATTTTGTTGAAACTAGCATTGTACTCTAGCTTCTTATGGATGTTGTTTGCATAACACACATCTTCTGCTCACTTACTGTTAATTTGTCTGTGCTTTCAAAGTCTAAAGTGTGTTTGCAGTACCCGGTACGTAATTAGTTTTTGGTTTTATTTTGGGTGGTAGGACTAAATCTAGAGGTCCCGTACCCACTGGGCTATAAAACTAGCTGTGGATCTTGTTTTGGTCCACTCTAAATTGCAATAAGATCCACTACTTACCCACTAGAACAGCTAAAATATAGACTGATAATATCCGTTATGATGGCAAATGAAATAAAAAGTCCTCAGTTCACTGAAGAGGGGAGTGCGAAAGTTGTAACCGCTTTGGAAATGTGTTTTGCCCTTATTCACCAACACGGAAAACATAAAGACCCATTCATCCAGAAGTATTCTATCTTATTATGGAAACAACACTTGTTTTTTTGTTGTTGCTGGAATAGAACACAGGTGCTTGCTAGGCAGGTGCTGTGCTGCTGAGCTACATCCCTGGCACCAACGGTTACTTTTTACCAAGATATATTAAGTACTGCAAAAATTGGAAATAACTCAAATATATATGAGTAGGATAGACTACAACACTGTAACATCAATCACAGGACAGTAGCAATGAAAACACTGCAAATTTATGTAAAGCACAGTTCTCAAACTATGTTGAACAAAAAGAACATGACACAAAAAGAGATACACTGTGGGCTGGGGATGTAGCTCATATGCTGCACCCTCCAGGCCCTCTGTTCAATCCGCAGTACCACAAAAGAAAAAAAGAAGATAATACCCTGTATAATTCAATTTATACAGTTCAAAAATATTCAGGCAAATCTCAAGCAAGGTATTAAGGACATAAATTATAAAAGTGAGAACATGTGATTCAAGGTATCACAGTATAATAGCTCTTGATGTAGGTAGTACCACATCATTGAGTCCAGTGTAACACTGAGAGGTACACTGATTTGTTCACCTTTCCAGCTATAGTATGACACCACAAAAAGGTTCAAAATCACAAGCTACTGGGCTTGGTGGTATGCACCTGTAATACCTTTTATTTGGGAGGCTGATGCAGGACAAGTTCCAGGTCAGACTCAGCAACTTAGTGACACACTATTTCAAAAATAAAAGGGCCAGATGTGGTGACACATGCCTGTAATCCCAGCACTCAGGAGGCTGAGACAGGAGGATTGTTGGGAGTTCAAAGTCAGCCTGGGGTACAAAGTGAATTCAAGGCCAGCCTGCCCTACAAGCAAGACCCTGTCTAAAAAATAAATAGATAAATAAATTGAATTAATAATAAAATGACAGGTGATGGAGCTTGGTGGTAGAGGACTCACCTAGCACATGGGACTCTTGGTTCGACCTCCAGTGCTCCCACCCCCTCCACACACAAAGAACCTTATGAACACTGCCTTCTCTTCTACTCCTGTGGTGGTGGGCACTCAATTTTCCCTAAAATAGTCAAATTGCTCTTTTTATTCCTGGGATTTTTTTCTTCCCAAAATCTTCATCTCATTCCTTTACACACAATCTTTTCTTACCTCAGGCATGTTCTGCAAAATCCAAGCCAACCGCAAGGAAGCTTGCTGGGTAGTGAAAGTAAACCGGCTCCCAAATAAAAATCTCTTGCTTCTAGTGAAAAAGTAAACCAATCGGCAGGAGCTGTGAAATAGCTATTTTTAAAAAAAGATATTTAATGTTATTTGATGTTTCCATGTCAATTCTATACACAAGCAAACAAACCCAGTAACAAATGAGTCACTTAATTACTTATGGTATCCTCAGCACTTAAGAAGACAATGTAATACTACCCTAAGTGAATCATCCTACCTAGGAAGGGCAAGACTTCTGCAAAGACTTCTAAAAAATGAAAGTGAAGAGGATATCAGAAAATAAAATGATATCCCTGTTCCTGAATAGGCAGAACCAATATAACCAAAATGGCACGTTAAAAATCAGGCTTTACTACCGGGAGACTTGTATGGGCTGCCCTGTTCTGTGGTTACGTGCATTTTCCTACTATGAACCAAAACTTTCATCATGCTCACGTTCAATATCAAGTAGACAAAGTGCTTGAATTGTTCACTTTTATGCTTGAGGTCACGGTTTTACATCAAGATTTGAGACTCGGATTATACTACAGAAGTAAGTGTTTTCATGGTCACAACTTATTTTTAAAGAAATAAAACTTTTAGGGCAATCCACTCAGGATCCCTTCTGTCTCTCTTTCAGACAGAAGCTTTCTTTCTCTCAATAAATATTTCTGCTCTTAAAAAAAAAAAAAAAAAACTTTTAAAAGCCGTGCTAGAATGCCCATAATCCTAGCACTCAGGTGGCCAAGGCAGAAGGACTGCCATGAATTTGAAGCCTGGGTACATAGTAAATTCAAGACCAGCCTGGACTACATAGCAAGACTTTATCTCAAAAGAAGAAAAAAAATGCCTTGCTTGAATAAACTGAGAAATGTTGATGATATATTAAAAACTACTGGTTTACCTCTAATGTCATAAAAACTATACCTTAATATATAAAAGCTTGTATTAAAATTGTGTCTTGTGTTTTGGGGGGTTTTCTTGCAGTACTGGGAATGAAACCCAGGACCTCATGCATTCTAGACAAGTAGTCTTTCATTGAGCTACATCCCTACCCCTGTATTTTAGTACCCGGCATAGTGCCACAAGCCTGTAATCTGAGCCTTTGGGAGGCTGAGGCAGAAGAATCACTGTTAGAGGCCAGCCTAGGTTACAAAGTGAGTTCAGCCTGCACTACACCGTGAGACCTTGGCTGAAAAAAATTTTTTAATTGTACAATTTTAAATTGTACAATTCATAGTTTATAACATTTCCTTATAGCCACTTTCAAAGCCTTTATTACTGGGTCTGTCCTATAAAAGAAACTCTCAGTACTTTGTCTTATAAATTATTACTTTCAATCTCTAGTACTACCAAATTTTTTTTAAATATAGAAAAATATTTCAGCAAGGTATATTCACATATATATTAAACAAAAAGAAAAATTACAATGAGTGAGATTATGGCAGAAAAATCTCCCGCAGGCATTACTATTATATTCTACACTGATATTTATTTTCATATAAAATTATCATCCTCAAATCCTCAAATCCTTTATCAAGTAAAACTGCTGCTCTAGTTTAGACACTCCCTCCTGCATCATCTGGTACCAGTACAGTAGCTGAGAAAGTATTTAATGTGAGGCATTAGAAGGCTTAGTGTACTCAGTATAGAATATGAATTATAATCTCACACCTATGAGTCAGGGAGATTGCAGAGAAATGACACAACAGTAGCTTGTGTTGATGCCACTGCTATTGTCACCACCAGCATCATCACTGTCATTTATTGATGGTGCCAGGCATCACGCCTTACTATTGGCTCATTATTAGCCATCATATCCACTCTCCATTTTATGGCAAAAAGTGATACAGTTTGGATATTTGACTCTATCTAGGCTGTATCTTTTCCATTTCTGAATGGCAGAATTCCCACAAATATATAAAACTATAACCTACCACAAACCTCCTGAGGACTTTCTAAAATACAGTTGTCAAGTACTTAAGCCACATATTAGTTTTGGGATAACTATTACTAAATTTCATTGATTTGAAGATCGTGTGTTTGTGTATTCTATTCCTGTATTTTAAAACAACAAAGGTAGGAAATAATCAGTTAAGTCTACATTAGGAGATATTTATAAAAAATAAAATAACATTCAAATTATAAAAGATAAAAAGATTACCTTCATCATAAGAGAATTATTGCAAGATTTTACAAGTTCAATCCCTCTTTGATCTTGCCAACTAATGAAATTGTGAAAATGCTTTCCTGTTTTCCTAAGAAAGGCAGAAACAGTATTTTAAGACTCGGTTTAAACTACAGACTAAAGATCTATCAGAAGAGAAACAAAATCAGAGCTCAAACAGTCATTTCAAAGTAGGATAAAACTTTCCAAACAACTTCTTAAAAAAAAAAAATGGTTAGGGATGTAGTTGAGTGAGAAAGACTGGGTTCAACCTCTAGAATTGTAGGGGCAGAGGGGAATAAGAAATACAGAAGGAAAAAAGTCCTTTTTTCCGTGAGGCTCCTATATACCAACTTCCAGCATCTATACCTCACCCCACGCTCCCCCAAAGGGCCTAGGCCTTTGCACACACTAGGCACACCCTGTATGGCTGAGCTACACCTCCAGCCCTGCTGTCTTCTAATCTTCAATATCAAATTCAGACTTGCTTCCTACTCTGTCTCCAAGTCTCTTCCTATGTAAACTTAACCATGTTCAATTCCCAAGACTGTCATTCCCCATCTTACCTAAGTGTCCTACACTTATGGTCACATCTTCACTGATTCAACAAGTATTTACACAGCAATTGGTGTCAAGAATTGGGAACTGGTCTACAGACAGAAAAACATGGTATCTTTCCCCTGAAAAATACATTTTTCCCCCTAATGAATATGCTTTTTACTATGGAATCCAAACAAATAATTATTCAATTGCTTTACCCTGATGAATATACTTTTTTACTAGGGAATTCAAAGAAATAATCGCTTAATTCCTTACTTACAAAAGAAAGATGAGATGTTATTAAAAACTATGGTAATGTCTAAATTTTTAAAATTTGTTATAATAAAAGATAGAGCTGGGTGTGGTGGCTCACACCTGTAATCCCAGCACTCGGGAGGCTGAGGTGGGAAGATCACTGTGAGTTCGAGACCAGCCTGGGCTACAAAGTGAGCTCAAGGCCAGCCTGAACTGCATGGTGAGACCCCATGTCAAAAAAAGACAAAAAAAAAAAAAAAAAAAAGATATATTGACATAATCCCTCCTCCCTGCTTCTAACACACGTATCCCATAATTTTTGCCGCTTTCTGAAGCAATTCTAGGGTTTTTCTCTTTTGTATCACTAGTGGCTGACTTGAGGTCCCAAATCAACTCAAAACGTCTACATTGCATGGTCACTTTGACTGTGGGGAGGACGCAGAAGTCAAGTGGTGCCACCCCAAGTGACTGTGATGATGAGGAGACACGGCCTGCTTTTCCACTGGGTGGCAGCCAGCACTCACCATTCTCTTCATTAGGCCTCAAAAGAACACCAAAAAATACTTCCAAACTGCCTTGGAAGGTGTGAGAACAATGGGATAAGCATGGCCTATACAAGGGGAGTATTCTGAAGGGATGAAAGGCAATGAGCTTCTTATTATAGTATTTTTAAACTTAAACATTTGCCTTACATTTTGATCTCCCCCTAGAGTCTCATGAAGGAGAAATACAGTGTCTTAACTGTGTTAAACAGGGAAACCTGGCCTGGTTTGGGGGCAGTAAGTTTGAGAAGGAACAAAGGCACTGCGTGCTGAAAGATATGTAAGAATGAATATTTCTGTCAATGTGTTATTGCACATTCAAAGGTCCAAAAGTAGTATAAAACATGATGTGTTAGAGAAAATGAAATGCTAGAGTGGTCGAAGAGGAAAGAAGAGAAGAAAAATCACAAGATGAAAGTGGTATTGTTAGTTTGTAACACAGTACAAGACAACCTAGAAAACCAGAGCCAGGTGTGCTAGTGCACACCTATAATCCCAACACTCAAAAGGCTGAGGGAGGAGGATCACTGTAAATTTAAGGCTGGCCTGTGATACCTAGTGAGTTCAAGACCAACCTGAACTGCAGAGAGACCTTGTCTCAAGAAAACAAAAGACAGAGACATAGAGATGGAGAAAAAAAACTAATGTCAAGTAGTAGCATATATTCTAATACTCAGCCTTCATTTGAAATAATTTTCTCTCTACAAATAATTACAAGAAGAGAAATGGAAAAGAGCATGAATGGCAATATTATAAATTAATTGTCCTACTAGTGCAACCATTGTGGAGGTCAGTCTGGAGATTTCTCAGAAAGCTGGGACTGGAAGCCCCATTTGACTCAGCTATTCCACTCCTAGGCATATTCCCAGAACTGAAAGCATCATACCACAGTGATATTTGTACACCCACATTTATAGCAGCACAATTTGTAATAGCCAGATCTTGGAAACAACCTAAGTGTCCATCAACTGAAGAATGGATAAAAAAGTTGTGGTATTTTTATACAATGGAGTACTACTCAGCTATAAAGAATGATCACATTGAGACATTTATAAATAAATGGACGCAGCTTGAGACCATACTCAGAAGTGAAATAAAACAAACTCACATGTATAAATACCGAATAGTTTCCCTAGTGTAAGAAATGATAAGAATACATAAAAGTACGTGGTAATCACGATTCCCAATCACACTGGTTTGAAGCCATATAATGTTTTCACTCACTAATTAGAATGGTTTTAATCTGGGTTGTTTTATTGTCTGTGATACTACAAATAGCTATTTTGAAGAAAATAAGACAGCGTAATAGCTAGTGCTGATTGAATATCATCCTGTTTTGAAGCCCCATTAAGTTGTTATTCGTGTTTCTATTGGTTTTAACATGTTGTATCTTATTATATTTTAATGCATGCAATAGTATAAGCAAAATTTTTTTATAGGCAAAGAGATAATATAGAAACTGATGTTTGGTTTCTGTTAGCTGGTTCTAAATACCCTGCAATACTTTCATTTTCTTGAATGGTTTCACACTGTCTTGATAAGTTTGATGCTATAGTATACGAAGTTAGACTCAAATATATCAAGGAAAGAGACACTATGGTAACTACTATTAATGTCAGGCTATCTGGTGGTGAAACACAATGATGCTTAAATTGTTCGGTTCTGACCTGTGTTGTTCTATTGATATGTTCTTTTTTATCTCAATCTCCCCCCTTTTTTTCTTTTTTTAAAAATTAATTTTTTTCTTAGTATCTTTTAATTAAGGGAAAACTAAATTAAAAATAGCGGGATATATTATTGTAACTTTTTTGTTTTTCTATTAACCTGATTATAACTCCTGTATTGTTCTCCACATCTTGTACTGATTGATTTTATTATATTGTTTTGTTTAATAGTATCAAATTTGAGGGTATAGGCAACCACTTTGAAGGCAACAAGATATTCTATGATGCCCATTATGGTTTGACTATTATCTTCTTTGGAAGTCCTGTAAGGTCTCCAATGTGGGTTTTATTGGTCTTGTTCTGTACTGTTTTGTCCAATTCTTTTATACCAGCTGATTCAGGCAACTCTTTTTAGGATAACAAGAGGCATAATGGTAACCATTGTTTATCACCTAGTAATCTCTTTTTGCATTATATACTATGTCCATCCTCCTGTTCTGACTCTGTTTTGCTTTGTCATATTGGGTTTTTCTTTTTTGGTTCTGTTTTGTTTTTTGTTTTTTTCCTCTTCAAAGAAAAAGTTATAAGAACTGTGGAAGTAATGAAACCCCATGTGTGTGATTGTTATAAAAAAGAGCGGAAAGAAAGTGATCTAAAGGATATAACTGCAAGTATATGTGAGTGTGTAGGATGGAAAACCGTATTACTGAGTTTTTGTTGGATCATTGAACAGAACTATCTGCAGTCTCACTGTATTATTGTCCACTTTGTATGCTTTAATTTTGTAACCTGGACAACTGTTTCTGAGATGACAATATGTAACCTATTAACTAGTGATTTCTTACTGTATATTTTTTCTCTTGAAATTCTGTATTACTTGTAGCATTTTACTGTTTTGTTTTGTTTTGTTTTTCTCCTTAAATAAAAAAAATTTGTCTTAAGCCTTTTTAACATCTCACAGCTCTGTGACTCTTCATCTATTTTATGTCATAAATAAGAAACATTAACTTAAATATCAAATATAATGAAAGACACTGGAATACAGAGCGATTTCTCCTCTCAGATAATGAGAGCAGGCATCCCTGGCGCGGACGCTCTCTCTCATCTTTGTCTGCAGCTCCACACAGCACAAAGCCACACACTAGGGGCCCCAGTCAGTGCACTGGACCCCAAGCCCCAGGATACCCTGTTTCCGTCTGTTTCCATGGCTCACTGGCACATACCAATTGAGGTCCCCAAGAGACACTGTGACTGAAGAAACAAACAGCTCAAGGTTTTTCTTAGAACAGTAGGAATTCAAAAGAACAAAATACAAGAGGTATCATTTAGAGGGATTTCAGAAAGCAGGCTAAACACATCACTGACTAAATACACTGGGTAAAAGTTTAATCTGTAGAACATGAAGGAGACTTGAGGGCTGAAAAACATTAATGCCACTATATTTCCTGTGCTCTTAGGGTCAGGGAGCAGGTAAAAAGCAGGAGAAAAATGAACAGAAGAGTCCAAGTTCTAGGCTGGTTCTTCTCTCACAGAGCAGCAGGAAGCACAGCTCTTGCGCCGTATCTTCCCTGCTCTGGGGAGCTGGTGGAACCCACTGGCATCGTACAGCAGTGGCTTGCTGGACTAGTGAGCCGAACAAAGCTCTACTTTTTGAACTAAATGAAGAAAGAAGCCATGTGCATTTCTTCAAAATATATCAGTATTTTCATTTCTATAAGCAAAGAGTTTTTATAAAATTCATAGAATAAACACATTTCAAAAAACAAAAAAGGACAGTCAAGAAAATGAACCCAGGCTAGTGTAGTGGCCTACTCCTGTAACCCCAGCACTTGGGAGGCTGTGGCTGGAGCATCACAGTGCGTTCAAGGCCAGCCTGAACTATAGCAAGACCCTCTCCCAAAAAACAAAAAAAAGAACTCACAATGATTGCATTGGAAAGAAATCTTTCAGCTGGGCGTGGTGCCACAGCCCATAATCCCAGCACTTGGGAGGCTGAGGAAGCAGGATTAAGGCCAGCCTGGGCTACATAGTGAGTTCAAGGTCAGTGTGCACTAATTGTGAGATCCTGTCTGAAAAAAACAAAAACAAAGAAAGAAGTCGTCCTACAATGCAGCAAAAAGGAAGTTCAACTGTCTTGGAAGCTGATTCTTCTAAAAGTAAGGTGTAGACCTACTGTTACACAAAAATTTTTGCTTCTTAGTACTCTGGCCTGCCTATCATGAGTGATACCATACTTGGGGAATGATGACCACGATGCTTGGGGACTGACAGCCACAACCTGTGGAGCCAAAGACCTGTCTCCAAATCCGGCCAAATGTGACACTTTCAAAGAGCTCTTCAGGCCCTGCCAACACGCTTGCTGGTGCTTCCCTCTCATCCACTTCTCAGATGTCCCTTGGTCCTGTCTGATCAGTTTTTTCTTCCCTAATTTTTTCAATTTTGGGACACACAATGCAACCATTATTTATTGCAAACATGTACTAAAACAATAAAAATCTTAAAAATTGGAGGGATCTCATAGTCCAAATCCTTTACTTGCTTTTTCTCTTTCTGGATCTCTATCAGAGAATACATACATCTACTCCTCTAGACTTCCTCTATACCAATAATTCTCAAGTGAAGGTGATTCTGCAATGTGTGGAGAAGCTTGTAGGTGTCACAATGCAGGGTACATGTGGAGATGTCACTCAAACATCTACAACACCAAAGGACAGTTCCCATCATGAAGAACTATCTGGCCCAAAATGCAAAAGTGCAACTGAATAGAGCTCTACCCACAGTTTGTTCGTTTGTTTGCTTGTTTTGTCTTTTTGAGACACATCTTCACTATGCAGTTCAGACTGGCCTTGAACTTACCTTGTAGCCAGTCTGGCTTAGATCTCAAGGCAATCCTACTGCCTCCGCCTCCAGAGTGCTGGGATTACTGGTGTGTACCACCACATCAGGCTAGATAACCTGAATTGATGATTTATGCCTTCATCTCACAGATACATTAACTACTAAAGACTTTTTATGCCCAAGGGTAGATGTAGGAGCTTGGTAAATGTAGGTATCAATCTCATGCATTATGCCCTGAATAAAACAGTGTTCACGAGGACAAAATGAATTGTGCCTTGGTCACCTCTGAGTTATCTCCACATTCACATGTCTAAACCAATCAGTTGATCACTATCCTTTCCACCATCCCACCCACCAACCTGTTCCTCTTCTTGTACCCTGTAAATCCTATCACACTTTGACAAACATCAAGGTCGGAAATATTGCTAAATTTACATTTCTTCTTCTTACCTAATACTGAACCAAAAGTCAGGTCCTTTTAAATTTAACCTGAGTACATTTTTTAGACTCAGCCCCATTCCCTCCTTCCACTTTTCTTTCCAACTGCTCAAGCTCAATATATCTTTAGAGGCTAATGCTCGGTAACAAAGACAAATTTCACATTCTAAAAAAAGCAAAAAAAAAAAAAAAAAACACAAATTAAAGGCAATCTGGAAGTAGTACAAATAACATACGCTTTGCAGTCAAAAGATAATTTGTGGCTGGGAATATATGTAATTCAGTGGAAGAATGCTGGGCTAGCATGCCTGAAGCCTTGGGTTTAACACCCAGCACTAAAAAAAAGGAAGGAAAAAACAGAAACGAAAACCAGAAGAAACATACTAACTAAACCAAGGGGCTGGGTGGTAGCTCAGGGTAGGGCACTGGTCTAGCATGCACAAAGTGCTGGGCTCAATCCTCGGCATCAGGGGTAAAAAAGATAACCTGAAATGTTGACTCTGCTTGCTGAGTGACCTATATAACTCCTTTCTCTGCACTTTGATTTCTTTTTCTGTAAAAACAGGCAACACCTAAATAATTGGTCTGTTATAAGGTTGATGAAACGTCAAGCATCACGGGTCCTCATATGGTAACTATGACAAGATCACAATGTGTCTCACTCATGTATATCTCAGATGCATAGATGTTTATACTCTAAATCTTTTCATTTCTTTTCTTTTGGTACCAGGTATCAAACTTGGGACCTCATGCTTGCCAGGCATGTGCTGTGCCACTGAGCTAAACCCCTGGCCCATATTTTCAGTGTAAAGTAGTCTGAGAATATAAATCGTAAGCACGGCATTGTTTCTGAAATATGGTAGGTTCCTCCCTCTGTTTAGGTGTAAGGTAATTTTTCAGATTTTCAATCTCTGCTTGTTTGAAAAGCTAACTTTCATAAAAGAAAAGAGATTTTTTTATGGCAACAACAATCTCCTTATTGTTACTATACATCAGTTAAGCACAGGTGACATGCAGGGAGCAGATAAAACAGAACGTTAGGCTGTTTTCATGCTCTTAGCCAAGTGAGAAACTACTTTCATTCACAAATCCAAAGTTCCCCAAATAGGTTGTCCAGCCATCTACTCACTGAGGCACAAACCCAGCAGCAACAGTGCTCAGCACACAAGGCATGTACTCACCTGTTCCATGTAATAAAAGTTGCTCTCTGTGTTGATATACCAAGACCAATAACCTGACTCATCTGTATTCCTGCAGCTGAAAGTGAAGACAGAGAAAACATATATTTAAAAGTCAGTGATGCTTAATCTTATAATATCACAGCATGGAAAGTAATTGTTTCAATATAATCTTCAAAAAACCATCTAGGTATATAGCCTGTAATCCCAGAATTTAGGAGGATGAAGGAGCAGGATCAAATTAAAGGCCAGATGGGGATACACAATGAGACCCTGTGACAAAAAGGCAAAAAAAAGAAAAAATCTAAATATACCATTTTAATAAAACGATTAAAGCTGGTGCCAGGGGTTTAGCTCAGTGGCATAAGTGCCTACTTGGCAAATTCGAGGTTGTGAGTTCGAGCCCCAGCACCAAAAAAAAAAAAATACTAAGATGACCTAGTTATTTTTTACTTTAAAAAAAAAAAAAAACATACCCTTGTAAGAATAAAATAGCCTCTTTTTTTGCTTTAAATGTTGGGAAAAAACTAGACTAAATCAGATTGTATTATCTTCCTGATAATAGATCTTAATTTATACAATGATCGGTCATAATAGAAACTGGTTAGGGCCAGGGATTTAGCTCAGCAGCACAAGAATCTGCCTGGCAAGCAGGAGGTCATGAGTTCAATTCCCGGTCTTCCCCCTGCATCTTCCCCTCCAAAAAAAGAATCTGGTTAGTGGTGAGAAACCAAGGAAAGTAGAAAAAAGTAGTGTAACTACTGAAATGAGGTCATATTTTTTAACATAAACACAAATCAAGGACATATTGGGCCTGGGGATTTAGCTCAGCGGTGTAACTACCTGCCTTGCAAGCAGGCGGTCATGAGTTTGATCCCCGGTACTGATTTAAAAAAAAAAAAAATCAAGGACATATCTATAAATATGCCTTTTTAACCCAAGTTTCCTCAAATACAGAAATGCAAGTACATTCTATAATATTCTTTTAAAATAATTCATACCATTGGAAAAACTCAGGACAACTTCAATTGAAGCAATGAGGAAAATGTATTATTCCCATGAAATAGTCCTTCAAAATTATTTAATATGCTGCCGGGTGTGGTGGCTCACACCTGTAATCCCAGCACTGAGGAGGCTGAGGTGGGAGGATCGTTGCCAGTTCGACACCAGCCTGGGTTACAAAAAATAAGTTCAAGGCCAGCCTGAAGTGCATAGCAAGACCCCATCTCAAAAAAAAAGACAAAACAAAACAAAATTACTTAATATGCACTTGGAAGCCAAGGCAGGAAGACTGCTGTCAATTCAAGGCTAGCCTGGGGTACAGTGTGGAATGGTGTCTCAGCCCAGGCTAGCCTTGAATTTGCAGCAGCTCTCTTGCCTCAGCCTACTAAGAATTCTAGATTTTTTTAAAAATTATTTTTGCCAGGTACGGTGGCATAGGCCTATAATCCCAGTCCTGGATGCTGAATTAGAAAGTATGCTAAATTCACAGCTGGCCTGTGAGTTCAAGGCCTTGAACACAGCAAGTTCAAGGACAGCCTGAACTACCTAACAAAGCTGTCTCAAAAGAGCAAAGTTATTTTTTTCCTTAAGATAACAAGAGAATATTGAAAACTGAGTACTAAAAAACAGCATTAATGTTTTGTTTTGTGTTATTTTGATTGCCCTTACTACACAGTTCAAGGTGGTCTTGAACTCATGGTGATCCTCCTGCATCAGCCTCTTGAGTGTGCTGCTACCTCTGGCTGGTTTGGTTTTTGGAGAGAGGGACTTGCTACACGGTTCAGACCGGCTTTGAATACATTATGTAGCCCAGGCTAGCCTCAAACTCTTAATTCTCCTGCCTCAGCTTCCAAGTGCTAGGATAACTGGTATTCATCATCACACTTGACTGTCACACCATTATTCTTGCAAATTTTTTTACGTTTTTGGTGCTGGAATCAATTCAAGCCTGACACATGCTAAGCACATACTACCACTAAGCTACCTCCCCCCTCCACTTACTCTTGCAACTCTTTTAATAGCTTTTGAAATATCACAAACTAAAAAGATGAAGAGAAGCAATTCAGATAGAAAAACAAAGTAAGGGGACTGGAGATTTAGCTCAGCGGCATAAGCGCCTGCCTTGGAAGCAGGCAGTCGTGAGTTCAATCCCCGGTACTGATAAAAAGACAAAAAAAAAAAAAAAAAAAAGAAAAAAGAAAAACGAAGTAAAAGATCTTTTAGAACTCACAAGTCATCTTTTTGCAATGTTTTTCCAAAAGGCTGCAGTGAAAATGTTCCTAACGGGCTAAGATTTTATTTAATTTAATTTATTTTTTTGGATCAAACTCATGACCTTGTGCTTGCCAGACAGGCTTTTGTGTCACTGAGCTAAATCCCCAGCCACAACTGCTAAGATTTTAGCTGTGGTTAGACAAACAACACTGTATCAATGAGCCACACAGGAAAAACAGAACAAAAACCTCATTATACTCTAAAGGTAAGTGGCGTGGGAAATCATGAAGGAAGAATTGTACTTGGTGACTTCGCTTGCAGTGCTGTGGTCACATTATCAGCACCAGCTACCAGCTGGCCTGAGGGGCACAAGCATTATGTGCATACCACTGGCAGGTGACCAAGCAGAGGGCACAGTAGCTGCTATCTTGCTGTGATGAGGTCTGCGGTCAACCAAACAGTTCTCCTCAAAAATCCTGGGATGCTATGATCCCCTCCCCCCAGAATAAAATGCTGTATGTGTAACAAACTCAAAATTCTACAGAAGCCTACATTTTCTACACAAGCCTAAGGAAAAACTTTTTTTTTCCTGTACTAGTGACTAAACCTGGGAAATCATGCATGCTTATACAAGTGCTCCATCACGAAGTTATAGCCCCATATAAGTTTGTGACAGGATCCCACTTAGCTGCCAAACTGCCCTTAAACTTGCAATCTTCCTGCTGCAGCCCCAGGTGGCTGGGCATACAGGTGTATGCAAAACTCTTACTTCAAACATAATACACTGTAGAAATAACTGTTATTTTTATAAATTCTATTACCTTTGACAGCATCTTTTATTACAGTAACAAACTGAGTCCAGAGAACATCAGGATCAATTTCAACCCATCCAGCTTGAGGATAAATATTTTCTACCTATTTAGGAAAAGAGAAGATTTAGTAAAAATAATGTTAGATCAAGTTCATGGTATCTGAGCCTTAAATCTACTTACTCATTAAAATAATTAACAACATGATTTCAGTTATCTACTTTTTATTGTTAAAATTCAGGGATTAGGGTTAGGGTTAGAGCACGTGTTCAGTATGTGCAAAGCCTGGGTTTAAACCCTAGTATACCCTTTTTCCGAAAAAACTAAAAAAATACATATATACCCTTAAAAAGGACTACAAACCAACACGAAAATAGAAGTAGCTCATGAGTTTACAAAAAAATTTAGCTCTTATTTTAATCATTATTTTCCAAGTTTTCTACAATGAAAGTATTTTATAATTAAAAAGAATAAAACTTTTTTTGTTTGTGTTTTTATGTCTGGTTTTTTGTTTCGTTTTGGTACCAAGAATCAAACTCAGGACCTTGCGTTATGCCACTGAGCTGTATCCTAGCCTCTTGTTTACCTGTTCTGAGACAGTCTCACTATAAAAAGCAGGCTGGCCTTCACCTCACTTTACAGCCCAAGCTGGCCCCAAACTCATGGTGATCCTCCCGCTTCAGGCCCAAGTGCAGAAATTACAGGTGTGCACCACTACACCTCAGCAAACAATTAAAACTGTTTTAAAAATTTAGAAATAAACAAAAGAACTATGTTCCAGATCACACTATGATGGAGCAAGCACACATTCCACCCTGTGTCACTGTATACAATACAAAACCTAAACCTAACATGGTGGGGCACACCTGTGATACCAGCATTCTAGGAGGCTGGAGGATTATAGGTTCAAATCTGACCTCGGAAACTTAGTAACTTAGTAGGACCCTGTCTTAAAAAAAAAATTTAAGGGTTGGACATGTAGCTTACTGTGAGGCACTGGGTTCAATCCCTATTACTGAGGAAAAAACCCAAAAACCTAGGCAGAATGCTTGGAGCAGAGGAGGTTTTTTGTTTTTTTGTTTTTGTTTTTGTTTTATAGACTCTTAAATGCGTGCAGCAGCAGGCAAATTAAGAAAGTAGATAAGAATTTGAGGGCCACAGGGCTTATCCAGCATGTGCAAGGCCAGGGGTTAGAGCCTCTGTGCTATCAAAAAAGAAAAACACTGCGTGCAGGGAGCTGGGGTGATTTCTCACTGGCCTTCTGCCATCATCTGGCGTGGATACAAGCACCCTGAAAACCAGAACTTGGTTCCACAAGAAGCTCTGTTTTAGGGTTTGAAGAATTAAGAAAGGTTTTCATTCCTAAATTAAAAAAAAAAAGAATTGAGAAAGGAAACCCCTACCCCTCTGAAGGAATTAGAATGCCACCCTGTATTTCTATTCCGCTCGTCCTCCCTCTTCCGCACCCAGACTACCCAGCACTGACTGTGGCTGCGGCAGTGACAGTACGATCAGTGAATTCCAACGAACACCCACGACTGTAGAGAAGAGGCTTCCAAATCCACGCAGTGGTCACAGAAGGCAGGGAATAATCCTATGCTGTTTCTCATCTCTGCGCTTGTATTGCCTGGCATGCGCAAGTGAGCCAGAAGACTAAAAACAAGCCAGAGGACCAAAAGAGCAGGCTCAGCGTCCCAGAAGCAACCACGAAAACCTGCGAGAGGGAGGAGCTGGGAAAGATACCTAGAAAGCTGGAGATACACCTAGACTCTGCCCAAGAGATGCTAGTGCTGCTGTGACAACAGCTCTCACGCAGCAAGCCAAAGAAGTTAAGGGTTTCCCAGAGCATAGGCCCCAGGATGCCTTCTAGGCTGTCTACACGTAGGGCAGATCTGAAGACTACTAGCAAGATTCAGAACACAGAACTACCAGGGAACCACAGTCCACAGAAGCAGCCAGAATTTGTGATCTGAATCCTGCTAATAGAAAAGTATATTTTTCCTGCAATCCCTGCACTAGGGAGGCTGAAGCAAGAGGACTGCAATGAGTTCGAGGCCAGCATGCACTACAAAATGAAACCCTACAAAAGGAAAGGAAGAAAGAAAAAGAAAAGTGCATTTTTAACAGGATTTACTCAAGACATAATATTCAAAACATCTAGGATATAAACCAAAACTACAAGGTATATGAAGAACAGAAAATCTCAACACACATTAGAAAAGACTGTCAATAAATACTAATGCCAAGGGGCTGGGGATTCAGTTCAGCAGTAGAAGCGCCTGTCTGGCACGCACGAGGTTGTGAGTTCGACCAGTACCACAAGAAAAAAAAAAACACTAATGTCAAGATGACAGCTATTTCCAAATCACTTTAAAGTGGTTACTATAATGCAATATTAAAAGGGAAGACTCTTGAAAACAAAGATAGATGTAATAATGACTTCCTTATATAAATACACATCAAGATCAATGCATCAAGACATCATGTTGAGTTAGGCACTGTAGTGCATATTTATAATACCATCACTCAGGAGGCTGAGGCAGGAGGATCATGGCAAGTTTGAGGCCAGCCTAGGCTACATAATGAATTCAATATCAGGCTGGGCTATCTAACCCTGCCTCAAAAAAACAAAAACAAACAAACAAAAAACAAGTTGTACATACTACATATATACAATTTTAAAAAAAAGATTGGGGATACAATGTGACTCGGTAGCAGAAATCTTTGCCTAGTATTCATGAGGCCATGAGTTGGATCCCCGAAATGCAAGCAGGCAGGCAGGAAGGCAAAAAAAAAAAAAAAAAAAAAAAAAATCTTGCAAAAAAAAAAAAAAAAAGCAGAAAGCATAACTCAGTGTGGTGGTGCATGCCTGTAATCCCAGGACTCTTCCTGCGGCAGGAAGTGATTACTGCAAGTTCGAGACCAGCCTGGGCTACACAGTGAGTGTAAGGCCAGCATGTCTCAAAACAAAACAACAAAAAACAGAAATCAGAAAAAAGAGTATTTTAAAACTGAAATATACAATGATAAAAATAACTGAAAATCTGCCAGTGTCATATATTCTGGGAGACTAGGGCATCACAGTTCCAAGTTCACACTCAGACTTTGTCTCAAAATAAAAATGGGCTAGAGATGTAGCTCAGTGTAAAGATCTTGCTTTTAATCCCTAAGCACAAGAAAACAAAAAAATCTAAAAATTCACTGAATGGGCTCAAGGAACACAGAAAACAGAGTCAATAAACTCGAAGACAGAGCAATAGAAGTTATTCAATATAAAGATATAAAAAAGAAAGACTGGGAAAGAATAAAGCCTCAGAGGCCAGGGACAATAGCAAAAGGTCTGATTTTGTGTAGTCAGTTTCTGAAGAACAGAAACAGTTCAGTGCACAAAATAATTGTTTCTGAGAAGTAATGATGCTAAAAGTTTTTCAAGTCCAGTAAAAGATTTAAAGTTTTTGTATTGGGCTCAGCAGCACAGCGCCTGCCTGGCAAAAGCAAGACGATGAGTTCAATTCCCAGTATCAAAAAATAAAGAAAATAATAATAAACTGAACTAAACTAAAATCTATGTATTGCAGAAACTCAGAGAAACCTTACCAGAATAACTCCAAAGCATTATACACACCATATAACTAAAATGCACAGAATTAACAAGAGTGCAAGTTTGAAACCAATGTGTTTAAGAACTGTCAGTTCAGAATTCTGCATCAAAATCCCAAGCAGGCTGAGCATGGTGGCATATGCCTATAATCCTAGCAGTCGGGAGGCTGAGGGAGAAGGATCTCCATGAGTTTAAGGCCAACCTGTAGAGTGAGACTCTGTCGCAAAAAAAAAAAAAAAAAAAATTTAGAAGTTAAAATGAATTTAGAAAAAAAGCATTTAGAAGAGAATACAGAAAGAATCACAACAGTGTCCCAAGGAGAAAAAAAAAAAGAGAGAATACAGAAAGAAATCCTCAAGAATTGGGGTTATCCAAAGAATTTTCAGAGAAATGGTACAACTCATAAAACAAAATAACTGCATAATTGGAGTTCAAAGTTACAAAGACTTGTCATGGAGATAGCTCAGCAGCATAAGCACTTGCCTGGCTAGTGCAAGATCCTGAGTTCAAGTCCCAGTACCAAAAAAAAGATAAAAGTTAAAAAGATGTGAAGATGAGCATGGTACCATACACCTGTAATCCCACAACTTGAGAGGCTGAGGCAGGAGAATCCCTGCAAGTCTGAGACCAGACTTGCTACAAAGCAAGCTGAAGGCCAGCCGGAACTGCATAGACCTTGTCTCGGATAACCGTATTACTGAGTTTTTTTTTGATCATTGAACAAAACTGTTTGCACTCTCACTGTTTGAAAGTCCACTTTATATGCTTCAATTTTGTAACTTGAACAACTATTTCTAAGAAAAGAATATGTAATCTATTAACTAGTGATTTCTGTTTATTTTTAAAAGTTTGTATTACTTGTACCCTTTTTCTGTTTTTTCTCCTTAAATAAAAAAAAGACAGTAAGTAAATAAATATTTAAAAAGTTAAAAAGATTTGCCCTCTAAAAAGTACCATTAAGACAATGAAGAGTGATCTCCATAGTCTTATAGGAGACACCTTAACTAAAGTTATGAAATGTACTCCAAAATGTTCACATTGGTCTCTATCAAAAGAATTAATACATTTTTTGGATTGAAATGCCTGTGCAAAGGTTTCACATGGTTATGACAGTTTATTGTTGTCAAATTGATGATGTATTTGATATATTCATATTTCTGGAGGCATAGGCCTCCAAGATTATAAAATGGGGATTGCTTATGGTAGCAGACTTTTTTTCCATATTTATACCTCTCCTAATACTAAAGACTTGTGAGATTCACATTCCACTAAAGGTCTATAAATTGGTCAATGATACAAAAAAAAAAAAAAAAGACAATGAAGAGAAAGAGTACAGATTTGTAGAAAATATCAAACATAAGACTTAATTCCAGAATATATAAAGAAATCTCAATGTTCCACAGTAAGCAAACGAACAATCCAATTAAGCAAATGGGCACAGAAGGCCAAGGCAGAAGGATCTGAAGTTCAAGCATCTTAGTGACTTAGTGGGACCCTGTCTCAGAATAAAAAAATAAAAAGGGCTGGAGGTGTAGGCCAGTTCAAACTCTAGTACCCCCCCCCCCAAAAAAAAGCAGAAATGTTGAACAGACACTTCACTAAACAAAACATATTGTTTGGCCAGGGATTTAGCTCAGCTGCATAAGCACCAGCGTGGGAAGCTGGCAAGCACTTGAGTTCCATCCCAGTACCCAAAACAAACAAACAAACAAAATACTGTTTGTCAGAAGATATCAACATTGTTAGGCATTTAATGCAAGTTAAAACCACAATAAGGCAGGACACAGTGGGGCACCTCTAGAGGCAGGCTGTGTCATCTGGCACCACAGCACCATGATCCCTTAGGTAAGGGCCTGCGAAACCAGAGCCAGATAAGTTCTGCCCCTGTTCCTCAGAACCTGGGCCTCAGCGGGCAGGGAGGGTGTGTCTTCATTGTTTTCCCAACATCTTCAAGTACTTTGGATTTCAAAAGTATTCCATAAATAACAGGTGAACACACACCTCAGCACAGCCCATGACCAGAGGGCAGAGATTCTAAGGTGTAACTCTGGGAATCACAGGCACTTACAAACGCCAGGATGTAAGATGGGGCTGGTCCAGAAAGCCGGCTCAGTTTTTCCAAGGATTCCCATTTCCTGCCTCAACTAGATCACTGCCTCCCTGCAACCTGGCAGAAGGGACAAGGTTTATACTCTGGAGGAGCTGAAACACCAGACATGGCTCAGTGCTAGAGTAAGGGGGAGCACTGAAAAACATCAACAGACAACCAACTAAGGGCAAAATAGAGAAAAAAGAAACAGCAACAACATGCCAACATGCAGAGAATAAGAGAGATGCTGGGCAATATGGAGAAAGAATCTATTCTCTGGAAGTGAGCACATCAGAAACAGACTTAAACAGAATCTTGGGGCTGGAGATTTAGCTCAGCGGCATAAGCACCTGCCTTGCAAGCAGGCAGTCGTGAGTTCGATCCCCGATACCGATAAAAAGGAAAAAGACAAAAAAAAAAAAAAAAAAAAAACCAGAATCTCTTCTCTTTCTATGTATGCAAGACTTTGCTAACTACAGATTGTAATGGGTCCACTGCAGAAAGCACGTCCTCATCCCCAAGTCAGGATGGATAACTGCTTCATCCCTGTAACACTGCACACTCTCACCTAGAACCCCCAGCACAACTGCCCCCAACCCTGCCAACCCGTACAGCTCATCTCACCCTCATACTGGTCCATCTTCCACTGTGGTAACTATACACCCGATGCTGAGAAATGGGTAAAGAGGTATCTGTGGCTCCTAGTGTTTGAGGTAGAAAGTCTAAATTGCCGTGGTCCCCTCAGCTCAGCCCCGGTGAAGGCCCCCAAGGCTGTAGCCTGTCAGGGCAGATGGTCACCGTGTGGTGGCAGGAGCCTATGTGAGAGAGCAATCACGCATGTTCATAGTAAGGAACCCTCGGAGCTGGAAGGCTTCTGGCTTGCAATTGTACAACCACTCCCTCTGGAGAACTAACTGGGATCTCAAAAGAGAGTCTTCAAACCCACATGAGGACAGCACCCTCAATACCCTGACGGCTCCCCAGGATGCCACACTAAGCCCAAGCCTGCAACCCATGAAACTACATCCAAACCACAGCAGTCTTCATATGGCATAATAGTGAGATCTGTCCTCTCTCAAAGGTCAAGCCAAAACCAAAAAATTTACGATTGGATTTAAGAAGAAAATACCTTTTGGTCAAAGCCAACAACAAAGACAACAACCAGAGTCCTCTTTTTAGAATGCTCAGCACATACCTTATTAGAGATCACACTGTTCTTTTGTGAGTGAACTCTTTGTCCTGTTCTCTTGACTATCATTTTTCATGGGTTCTCACACTGTTCTTTTGTGAGTGAACTTTTTGTCCTGTTCTTTTGACCATCATTTTTCATGGGTTCTCACAACAGCGTGCCATTCCACTGGGGAGTGTGTGTGTGTGTGTGTGTATGTGTGTGTGTGTGTATACCTGTGTGTAGTACTAGGGATGGAACTCAGGCCTCCCCTATGCAACCAGCCCTGTAAACCAATTTTATTATTTCTTTTTTTGTTTTCTTGAGACAGGGTCAGTATATAACCCCGTCTAGCCCTGAACTCACTTTGACCCTCCTGCCTTACTCTCCCAAGAGCTAGGACTAGACATCAACCACCACTGACCCCACCACAATAAGGATACAATTACACTAAATTTCTAGAGAAAAGTGACACCCCACCCAAAAACAAGAAATCCCAATTGTTTTATTATTAAAGACAGTAGGCATAAAATTACTTAGCCAAACTGCAACACAAGTTGCTAATCACTTTATTATGTTTGGTACCAGGGATTGAACTCATAACCTCATGCTTTCCAGGCAGGTACGCGGTCACTGAGCTATATCCTTGGCCCCTAATCACTTAGTTTTGTCTTAAGGCCAGTGCCACATTTTTAAGAAGTTTAGTTATAAACTCCTATTAGTTTAAGGGGAAATGTTACTCTTATGGCTTGTGCCTAGATGTACCCCAAAGGCTCATGTGGTCATAGGTGGCTCTTTTCAGAAGTGGCCAGACCTAGATAGAATATGTGACACTGGTATTGATTAGTAGTGATACTAAGATCAAGGGCACTGGGATTAAGGGTGTGAGTGCTGCCCCCACTAAGTAGCCTGGGTAAAACATAAGAGATACAAAGAGCTGAGGAGGAGCTGGGGATTTAGCTCAGCGGCATAAGTGCCTGCCTTGCAAGCAGGCAGTCGTGGGAGTTTGATCCTTGGTTACTGATGATTAAAAAAAAACAGCTGAGGGGAGGGGAATGGGGAAAAAAAGCAGCAGCAAGATAGACCATACTCAGGTACCAATTCCCTATGATGACTGTTAGCATTACATATATCTAAAATGTACCAATAAAAAAATAAATTAGAAAAAGGGATAGAGCTGTGGTCATCCCTTGATGGCTACCTTTTACCTGCCATGAACAGTTTCTCTTCTGCCACGCCTGTTTGCCATGTCACCCCGCTTTGCAGCCAGCTGACTAGGACTGAAACCTCTACAAACTGTGAGCTAAGCAAATCTTTCCCCCTTTAAGTTTGGGTGTTGGGGCTGAGGATTTAGCTCAGCGGCATAAGCACCTGCCTTGCAAGCAGGTGGTCGTGAGTTTGATCACCGGTACCCATAAAAATGAAAAAGACAAAAAAAAAAAAAGTTTGGGTGTTGGATATTTTGTCTCATCAATAAAAAAGTAACAGTTATGAACTCCTTACTCTAAAATACTAATTTAGCCAGGTGTAGGAGGCCACACTTGCAATCCCAGTACTTGAGGCAGGAGATCTGCCACGAGTTTGAGGCCAGCCTGGGCTCCACAGTGTGTACAAGGCAAGCCTGTAACACACAGCAAGACCCTGTCTCTAAAAAGCCATTATAATAAATAAATAAATAAAATACTGTTTCATCCTTGGAGGACAGAGATTTTCCCTATTTCCATTTATTGATATATTTTCAGACAGTCCATCCACAGTTTAGGATATAAGCAAACACTTCTAGTTTCTTGCCACTTGCAGCAATCTTGATTCATCTTTGACATTCTTAACCTCATTTCTAAATATACTAACGGTTTGCCCCAAATTATACTGCAACTGTGAAAATGTATTTTCTAACTACTGTGTTATTCTTTTGGTTCCAAATATTCCCGGCTCTCCACCCCTATTTCTTTTTCATTTGTGAGGGTTGAATACAGAACTGTATCTCCAGTTCTTTTTTTACTTTTTGTTTTGAGTCATGGTCTCATTAAGCTAAGTAGCCAGGTGGGCTTGAATCTGTCAACCTCCTACCGCAGCTCCCTAGAGTACTGGATTATAGGTGTGCGCCACAAGGTCTGGCACCATTCCTAAATAAATAAATAAATAAATAAATAAATAAATCACTGCTTAAAACAAAAGTACTTTGTGTCCAGAATTACAAGGGAGATTGTAAAAAGTATCGGTGTTTGTTAAAGACTCCTAAGAAGGAGCACAGTCACCCAAGGTCAAGAATCTCTCACCTCTCCTGAGGCCCCAAGGGCACAGGTTGTGGGTGGGCATGCTGTGTCCCGCATGCCCAGCCACAAAACGGTCCAGGAGCCCACGCAGCCCCAGCTCACAATCTGGTACCAAAACCTGAGGGAAAGTCAGTCGTTTCCGCTACGCAAATGCCCCAGCAGTCACTGCTTACTTGCACCCTGGATGAACAAACTCCCGGGCAACTACTGCAAGAAGGAACATCCCCAGGACATCGGGAAGTAGGGCGGATACCCAAGAAAAAGAGGGAGAGAGGGAACCGTTCAGGTGGCTGTCGGTCCCAGCGGTCCCAACACTACGCAGGTAAAAAGATGCCAATACTGAAAAGTGAGGAAGAACGCGATGTCCAATAAGCATTATTTTTGGCGCATTCACGATGTAGAAATCAACAGTTCATTAAAATGAGAACGGAGTATCAACTTCTTGGCTGTTCACCGATATTGCCAATGACAATCCAAGACTATGCTAAAAATCAACCAACCATTTGGCAGGACTCTCAAACAAACAACAAAAAAAAAAAATTGGGGGGGGGGCTTAGTTTTCAAGGACAGAACCAAAGAAAAGTAACAGATTTCAAAACTTGCCCAACACCTGCCATGTCCGTGGAAATCAGCCGGTCCTGTGAGAAGCTAGCACATTCTGGAGTAATAAAGACGATAACCAAAAACAAAGAACTTGAAAATCTATCAAGATCTGAAAAATCAAAGCGTGAAAGAAAGGTGGAGCTGGAAGTCCCTCAAGGAAGTACAGGGAAACCGAGCAGATCACCAACCACCTCCTGCACTGACACCGCAGCCCACCCCGCCCCGTCCCGTTTAGTCCCGGCCGGCGACCCGGGCACAGGAAGCGCACCCGGCCGGGCGGGAAGGGCGCGGGGCGCAGCCGGCGCGGGACCTGAGCGCGCCCCGACCCCAGGTGCCCGAGGACCCGCGCCCCGGTCACCTTCTGCGCGCTGGAGCCACAGACGCGCGCCGTCCGGTCATAGACGTGGCAGCGGATCACAGAGCTGCCCACGTCCAGCCCCAGCACGAAGCCTACAGGCTTCGGCTCCAGCCCATTACGCAGCTCCGACATCCCTGCTCGCTCGCCACTACGTCGCGGCCGCCGCCCCCCGCAGGCGGGCTATAAACGCCAGCACCTCAGGCCCCAGGGCGCCCGGACGGCCCCGCCCCGCCCCGCCCCGCCCCGCCCCGCCCCGCCCCGCGAACCCAGCGCTCGAAGCTGGAGCCACGCCCCGGGCCCCGCCCCGACGCAGTGACGTCTGGGTCGCGTGAGGGGCCGTAGCCGGAAGTTGCAGCTCCAGAACTCAACGTGGCCTTGACCCAGAGGTTGTGTGGATTTTGGTCTTGGATTCTGTTTTTGCCTTGTCACTCCCAGCAACTTGTGATCTTAGTATTTATTAATAAACTGAGGGAGGCCCTCCAAGGCTTCTGCCCGCGGAAAAGCTGGTAAGAGGTGCCCGTGAATGCACATCAGGAAATACCTACGAGACAACGAGCAAACCTTACGCAAGTCTTCTGTGAAAAAAAGAAAGGCTGCTTGGACGTCGCGCTCCGCCCTGGCCAGCTCGTGGAATCTGGAACCGAGGGGGCTGCTTCCGCGGGGCCTGGGCTGCGGCTCGTGGAACAAGGGCGTGAGCCGTCAGACCAGACTGCGCGAGTCTGGAGGTGCAGGGTCGCCCTCCTTCCCGACGGCGGCCGGATCTGCAGGGGTGCAAAGGCCTGGTCACACTTATCCAACCACCAGCTCTGGAAAACTGGCGCAGCAAAAGTTCTCTGTCATGTAAAATTATCCAAGTAATATGGATGTGTTTTTCATGAGAACATTTAATAGAGCAAAGTAGTGTGTCAGTTTAAAAACGTTGGAGATTGGTTTTGAAGCAAATTGTTCTTTTGGTCAAATTGTCCTGTTAGCCTGCTTGCCTTCTGCCAGTTTGACCAATAAGTCATATAACTTGGTCTTGTATCTTTCCACTCTGTTCCTGCCCCGCAATACTAAGTTACACGTGGCCACAGGTCTTCACTGCTGGCCATGTTGGTCAAAGGTGTGTGTGTGTGAATTCCCAGCATTGTGATTTTAAATAAACGACTAACGGGTCCTGTATTGGTCAAAGTTTTCAGGAGACACAGCCTATAGGAGAGAAAGAGTTTAAGGAATTGTTAAACATGATTATGGGGTTTGGCAAATCCTGGAGTTTTGCAGGGCAGAGTTCTTACATTGCAGTTTTGAGATTTCCCTCTTTGGGAAATCTTGTTTTTGCCCTTAAGATTCTCGGGTTAATTGGGTAAGGCGTTCCCACATTATGGAGGCTAATCTATTTCCCCTAAAGTCTGCTGATTTAAATGTTAATCATGTCTAGACAAACGTTCCACTAGACTGCTGTTTGACCAGACAGCTGGTTATCCACAGTATATTGTATGCCACCATCCTAACCAATCTGACACAGAAAAGCAACCACAATTTCCTGTACACAACGAAGAAAACTGTGTTATCTAATTTTGGTAGTACGCATATTTCTCAAAGTGATAGTTCTTGATATTCTTGATCCCTGACACTTTCGTTACAGTCTCTTTTGCAAATTCAAATCAATTATCTGGAGTTAAAATTATCTCAAATTCAAATCAATTGGAGTCAAAGAATCATAGAAACAAGGACTTTAAAAAATGATTAGTCTAGTGGGGTTTTTTTTGGTTTTGTTTTGAGGCAGTCTTGCTCTGTAGTCCATCCAGGGTGGCCTTGAATTCAGTGATCCTCCTGCCACAGCCTATGAGGGTTGGGATTCCAGGCATGCATCACCATATCTGGCTTAGTCTAGTGTTTTGTTTTGTTTTGTTTTGTTTATACTTTTCAGATCTTAACATCAAGACAATGCTGTCATTTCAAAGAAGATTCCGGGATCGAACTCATGACCACGCACTTGCAAGGCAGGGGCTTATGCCGCTGAGCTAAATCCCCAGCCTCAGAAGATTCCTTTTAAAAAAAAAAAAAAAAATCCATTTTATTTAAGGATAAAAACAAAAACCAACATTCAAAGCATATCAATCAGGGGCAACAATGGTACATAACACTGCGCATTGTCATCCCAGAATCATTCACCCAGAGCATAAGACATCTGCATTCAGTTGTCCAAACAATATCAGCATAAGAAGATTCCTTTTTTTGTTGTTCTGTACGCTTATTTGGGAGAGTCGCACTATGTAGGCTGTCTTAAATTCACTAGGTAGCCCTATCTGGTCTTGAACTCCTGGAAATCATCCTGCCTTATTCTTTGTGATATTACAGGCATGTGCCACCATGCCCAGCTTCAAGGAGACTGTTACACAGACAAAATTTTGCCTGTAACTTTAGGTACTGAGTATGACATAAACATAAACGTCTCATTAAAAATCCTGAACTGATTTCCCTAAACTGATGGACTATGGAGTGGAAGAGACTAGGGAACACACAGAATCTGTTTCTTCTTCCCTTTTCATTGTTCTCTGCTGGCGCACACAGCCTGCTGTGTCCTGGGGGAAGACTCTGGGGGCCACCGCACATATAGCCACAGGCTTCCAAATGCCATTGCTTAGCAGGTCCGCTCAGTTCACTGTTGATTAAGACACCCCCTGCTGTGACCTGTAACATCTGGTGGCTGAATTTTGACCTGTCCCAATTCCCATGAGGTGTGTGAAGCTTAAGCAGCAGGCCTGTTGCATATATACTCCCCTGCCATGACCCTGAGAAGAGCATTAGGGAAAAAAGAGGTATTTTTATACTGTACTCATTTTTGTAAAGCAAGTAACTAAAATTATATGAGCTTCTGGTCCCATTAAACCTCATCTTTAGCCAGGTGTAGTGGTGCACACTTGTAATCCTGCATTCCAGAGGCAGAGTCAGGATAATTTCCATGAGTTAAATAAAGGTCAACCTGGACTGCACAGTGAGTTCAAGCAAGGTTGAATACATAGGGAAATCTTATCTCAAACAAACAAAACCTCATCCTTAGTCTTCAGAGTTTTTTTTTTTAATTCTTTTGCTCTTATGAACATACATATGGTCACAATGCTGCCACGCATCCATGTGGAATAGCAGAAGTCCCTGCTCACTGTTCTGGACCCCTTGAATCCAACGCCTGCTGAGACTGAGTCTTGGCTGTGGACAGCCTTGAGTATCACGATGTTAAGCACTGGCTTCCTTGGGGTCTACTGTACAAGCAGACCTGTTCCAAAGGATCCAGCCCTATCTATTGCTTACCCTGTTGTGTGAAAGTCCTAGCCTGCCTTGCTGTTGAGCCTCTCATCTCTCTGAAACAGTCAGATCAAAAAGTAAGAACCAGGATCTTTAGATTTTTAGGACTGATATGTTTTAAGCTCTGAAAATAAAAGAGGATTTTGAGTCAGATCAAAGTCAAAGAGAGAATTAAATATTTTAAGATGAAATAATAATACCAGAAAACCCAGATTATACAAAGTTACTTCACTAATAAAGCAACAGCTTTGTTCCAGGCTTCTGAACACACAAGGCATAGAAGGAAATACATGAGTACCTCTCACCCTGCTATCTCCTGGGTGAAGAGAGGACATGGGCCACAAGTTCTTTGCTAGAGCCACAGAGCCACCGCTGCTGTGGCTTTTGTTACCTTCACCTTTACCTGTCCTGGCTCTCACTCCTTCTCAGAGCTGGGCTTTACTGCTTTCTCAGGCTCTTTCTCCACCACTGTCATTTTCTACACTTATTCTTTCTATAGCAGACAAGGATTAGAGCACAGTGTATGACTTCCCACATGCAAGAAAGTGGCGAGTTCCCAGAGTTGGAGCCTGAGGTCACCATCCCCTCAAAAAGAAGAAAGCCACAGGAGTGCTGTCCCAATCACTGCAGTTGTACTGACTTGTACAATTCTGTATATTTTTATATTTCTCTGGAATCCAAAAGTACATCTTGATGTTGTTGCAGTGGGGAAGAATCCCCTCAAGGCCTCCTGGAGGGTCTGGGGCCACAGTGAGAGCTGATTTTGCCACACAGACTAGACGTTACTTCATAAATAAGCAAAAATCCTTGTTCCATGCTTCCTAGCACTGAGGCATGAGAGTCCCCTCACCCTTCAGTGTCCTTGGGGAGGGAGAAGTTGGGCCACAGTTTGACACCTGTGTGTCAAATGCTGGCTTCCTCCATCCTAATCAAAGAGAGCTGAAGGGTTGCAAGCTTTCTCTGGCCTCAGCCTTGAAGGGATGCGCAGCCTCTCCAGGACTGAGCTGCTGAAAGACGGAAGATTTACCCGCGAAGTCAGGGAAACCACAGCAGCACACCTGCCCCAAGTGTCAAGTGTCAGCAACCCGAGCAGGCTTATTCCTGTCTCTTGAATCCTCTCATTTTGGCTGTATTAGGTAACAAGAAATCTTTTTGTTCTCTCTCTTACCAGTCCATGTTGTGGGAAGGAGTCGCTTAATAAGGAGCGTGACCTGTGAGCTCCTATGTTTGTGAACTACTCAAGGCTGGAAAATTCTCAAGAGAAGCTGGGTGAAATGTACACACTTGTAATCCCACACTTGGAGGGCTGAAGCAGGAGGATCACTGTGCATTTGAGGCCGGCCTAGACTACATAACAAGACCATATTTCAAAAACCTTAAAAAAAAAATGTGTGTGTGCTTGTTTATAGAATGAGAGCTGGAGCAGGAAAGCAGAAACATTTATTGGGTGACTCAGATTTTTTCGCCACTTATCCACAATGCCCATAAAGGGCTGGAAATACAGCTCAGCAGCACAGCCCCTATCTGGCAAGCATGAGATCCTGAGTTTGATTCCCAATACCAAAAACCAAACCAAAACCAAAAAAAAAAAAAAAAAAAAACAACTTCAAAATGCCCGAAAAGCACTGCAGTTTTTTGGTTTTGTTTTGGTTTGGTTTTTTTGAGATAGGGTCTTGCTATGTAGTTTAGTCTAGCTTTGAACCATATACCCTGGGCTGGCCTCAGACTCTCCCTGATCCTCCTGTGTCAGCTTCCCAATTGCTAGGATTACAGGCACTACCACACCAGGTTACATTTGAGAAATCTGTACTCCTCACTTTAAAATCTCCCCCACTTATTTTTTTATATCTGGAATTGAACTCAGGACCTCATGCTTGCCAGACAGGTGCTGTGCCACAGAGCTATACTGCTGG